TATACAGTAAATAAGCCCTCAATATGGCAGTTTTGTCCACAGGGAAGGAAATTAGAAGGGGTTAGGGGAAAAACAGAGAAAGAGAAGAAAAGGAAGAGATTAGAAGCAAGGCCAGAGACCAGAGGAGGATCAATCAAACTTTGGGAACCTGGTACAGAAGAGAGGAGGAAAAGAGAGAAAGAAGAAATAAAAACAAGAACAGAACAGAAGAAAAACAACAAAAAGATTAGAAACTGTGTTCATACTCAGAAAAATTTGAACAATCAATGAAGAAAAACAACCAAAAAATCAATTTAAAAAAAGAGAGAAATAAAATAAAGGAAAAACTGAAAAGAAAACTGTATCTACTTCATGGAGTGTGACAACATGGCCCACCAGAGTCCATATCCACATCAGTCAGTCCCAGTAGTCCAGCAGGAGCTCCATGGGCAGGCAGCAGCGAGTTCCAGCAAGCTACCCATGCCTATTTCCACTAGAGTTCAGGCGGTCTCCAGCTGCTGGGATCGAACCAATCGCCCACCCACAGCAGTCCCTGGGCCCCCTGAGGTCTTGAACTGGATGGGAGCCTCTACGGGGAGCCAGCAGCCACTCAGATTCCCAAGCCCAATTGGCTACTCTGTCAAACAGCTCCAAGCCAATCATCCTCTCTTGCGTGACAGCCCAGCATACACAATTCTCCAGCCTCTGCAGTCCCCCTCAGTCCCATGCTGAGCTCTGCTGCTGTGCTTCTCTGCAGGGGTCTCTGGGTTGCCAGGAGTCACCAAGTCTGCAGTTTCCAGCAAACCCCCACGCAGTGAGCCCAGGCACCAAGAAAGCATCGCCTGCTTCCCCCTCCTCCTTTGTTGAAGTTTCTCTTTTCTCCCTTTGGGCTTTAATTCTCACTTAGAGCCTTCCTGGATCCCAGGGAACCACTTCCCTCCTCCTTCTTTCCCTCACATGGTTATATTCCAGTGTCTGGACACCAAATTTTGGAGAAGCTCTTTCTTTGCCGTTCACCTCACTGCCATCTTCCCAGAAGTCCTTCTATTCATATGACACTTATCTTTTATTTTGCTAATGTGTTGTTTAGATTTTGAACAAGTCAAATTTTCCTGGAATAACCTCATTTTTGTGGTGAAATATTACATATAGTGTTAGAGGTCACCCTCACTCAAGCTGGATGCTTCACTGGGAGTAATCAACATGTAGTTGTTCTTATATTGCAATTCGCTACCATGGCAGCGAACACAGCACAACCAGCAGGGACATACAGTGCAGTTTACAGCAGAGGTGACAAACCTGTGTGCAGTCACAGTTGGATGTCCCCAGTTCCCTAGCAGTGAGTTGTGACAACATGTGAAATGTCTGGAGAAACAGAGCAGAGACTCAGTGCTTATGGTTTGTATTGAGGGTTGGTTCAAGAAAGGCCCGTTAGCGAGATCACACAACCAGACTACTAGAAGGAAGCTAGAGTACGGTAGAAAACTCATCATTTGCATCCACTGCTTGAGCAGAGTGAGCTGCTGTTACTAGTTAGGGAATTGGAAACCTCCCAGAATCAAAGTTCCCAGATGCCAGCTGATGGCCCTGAGGTCGGTCCTGGAATGAGTAACCAGCAAGTCTGCTGTGTTAACTGTGCTCTGCATAATTAGATTTGGGTTGCTAACTTACTGTTTAGGATTTTGTGGCTGTATTTACAAGTGAGACTGGCCTACATCTTCCTCTCTCATAATATTCTTGTTAGGAAATGAGTTGGCCCTGTGGATGAGGTAGTCTTCTCTTTTTTTTAATTCTTTGCAGGAAAGATGTATGAAAAGTTCTCCACTTATATAAATGGTTGGATTGACTTATAAAGCTTTAGGGATGGAATTTGTCTTTGTGGGAACAAATGTGATTGTGAATACAATTGTATTTTTACTTTTCCCCACATCTTTCCTGTTTTTTTGAGTCAGGGTCTCGCTATGTTCCTCAGGCTGGACTTGAGCTTGGCTTGAGCCTCCCAAGTAGTGGGGATCACAGTGGTTCTCCACGGTGCTGGTCATCTTTTCGTGGTTGTGGTAAGGGTTAGTTTCCTAAGAATTTGGCCCCGTGTGAATTCTCACGTGTGCGTGTTGGCATGCTTATTTATGATGGCCTCGTGGCTCTTTAATGTCTTTCAGTGTGGAGTCATAGTCCTTTTTTCTTTCCAGGTTTTTAGTGTCTTCTTTCACACCCTGCCAAACAGCTTTATGAGGGATTTATCAATAACTATTGTCAGGTAGAAAGTGGCCCAGTGTGAAGTGGCCCATAAGTCTTGCCTAACATGTGAAGGCCCTGGGTTTGACCCCAGACCCCTCTCCATAAATTTATTAGTGTTTTCACTGTTGTACATTTATTATTTTATTAATTTTTTCCTCTGTGTTGGGGGAGTTTGCTTTTCTAACCTGATGAATGCTTAGTTCATTTTTAGCTTCTGTTCTTTTATAATATGTACATTTAAAATTATAGATGTCCTAAGTTTATCTTGACTTGAATTCTATATTCAACTCAACATATTTCTTAATATGCATTGTAACTTTTTACTTTGACTTGTAATAAGTTACTTTACTTCAAATAAATGAGGGATTTCTAACTTTTAGCTTAATTGCCTTATATCCAGTAATATGTTACGTAAATTTTTGGTCCTTTGTTTATTCAACTTTTTCTTCTCTCTCTCTCTCTCTCTCTCTCTCTCTCTCTCTCTCTCTCTCTAATTTTTTGTTTTACTTTTTTGTGACAGGGTCTCATTATCTAATGCAGATTGGCCTTGAACTCACTTTATAGCCAAGGCTGGCCTTGAACTCATGGCAGTCCTCCTGCTTCAGCCTCCTGAGTGCTGGGAGTACAGGCATGTACCACCACAGCTGTCCCAAATTTCAGTCTTTTGAATGTATCAAAACTTGCTTTTTGGCTATGCATAAGGCCAGTTTTTGTAGCTGTTAGAGATGCGCTTGAAAAGAATTTACGTTAGCTGAATGTGGTGATGCACACTTTTAATCTTAGCACACTGGAGGCAGAAGCAGAATAATCACAGTTCCAGCCCATGTGCAACTTACTAAAACACTGGTTCAAAATAAAAATTTTTAAAAGGACAGGTTAAGCACTTGGAAGGCTGAGGCAGAGAAGATCACTGTGAGTTTGAGACCAGCCTGGATTACACAGTGAGACCCTGTTGCAAAACAAAAAAAGGTAGAACGTGTAGCTCAGTGTGAAAACTCTGGATTCAATCGCCAGTAATTAAAAAAAAAAAAGAAAAGAAAATATGTGTGCTGCAGTCAGGTACACTTGTTCCTGTTAATTTAAATCTGTATTTTTCTTATTCTGGGGAGTGATATGTGTGTTTGTGTGTGTATGTGTATCTTTAATTTAGAAGGTCATGTTAAAATCTCACTATAAGTTTAGATTTGTTTGTATTTCTTTATGTGGTACTAGTAATTTTTATGTTATGTACATAGAAATTTGTTACTGAGCACATATAAATGTAGAATTGTTTCATCCTATGTGAATTGACTTCCTGATAATTTTTTACCTCTTCTAATGATTTTTGCATTATTTTGATATTACTGTAGTTAGTAGGCTTTCCTTTGATATTCACATGGTTTTTCTTTTATTGTCTTTTTTTTTGTCCCAGCAATCAAACTCATGAATACACACTTGCAAGGCAGGCGCTTATGCCGCTGAGCTAAATCCTCGGCCCCTATTGTCTTAAGTTTTAATCTGTGTTTTTTTGTAAGCAGCTTACAGTTACTTTTATAATAATCATTTTTTTAAAAATTCTCATCAAGTAGAATTTATTTTAGCCTAGAACTTACTTATTTAGTAACACATTTATAATTGTAGTTTATATCCAGCAATTTCCTACAGTTTTAAAATATGATGACCACCAGTAAGCCAAAGAACCAAATCTTCTATGTTATTATTTGCATAAGGCTTTGGCATTTGGAGAAACAGTTTCAATTGAACAACTTCTTTTTTTGTATAATCTTTTCTGATAGTCTTTATCTTTTTTTAATTATATAATTTAATGCATTTATGAATGTGACATAACTACTTTTACATTTTGATTAAAATCAACCTTTGTTCTTTTTATTTATCCTTTCTGTTCAATGTGCCCTTTTCTTTCTTACCTTCTTTGGGTCAATTAGATATTTTTATTTTTCTTGTTTTTCTCCATTAGCTAACAAGTTGTGCTTTAACTCTGTTTTTAGTGGTTATTTTAGTGAGTATACCAGGAAACCCTGACTTAAAATCTCATGTCAATTAATATTTCTGTCTTTTACCCAGGCAACGTAAAGACTGCATTTAACACTCTTCTACTTAGATGCTATTGTGTTACATATTTTAATTACCCAAATACATGATTTAGTTTGCATTTTTTATTGTCCATCATTAATAATGAAAGCTTAGGGATTTTGCCCCTATTTAAATGCTATAGAACATATAAAATATTGAGATGAATGACAGTTTTTGTTTACATAATTTGTGCTTATAAAACAAAAATTGAAGTCAGAACTTTCTGAATTGTATACATTCCAGTTCGAGTATGTGAAAAAGTACAAACACACAGGTGTGTGCACTCATGCCTAATACACAACTTGATTTGCCTTTTTCCCACATCTCATCCTCTTGCTACAGTCTCTTGTTTCTGTGGCTTCCTCTGCTTTTTCCCTTCATCATTTGTCACTTTGTGGATTTTACTCAGAAAGCCCATACTTTTATAAAGATAGTTAATTAGTTGCTCCAAGCATAGTGGCAAAGCACTCAGTCACAGTGTCTGGGACATGACCTAACTTTTTCGACTGTTGCTGCTTACTATTCAAAAAGTTTTCCCTCTTAGAACAGTACTAGTTGCTCGTCAACACCCGAAGACATCTGTGGGTAAGTGAGATTGACAGAACTGTAAAGATAGTTTTGATTTTGGTCAGTGTAAAATTTATTTCTAATCATAATCTATACATGTGCAGAATTTCTCTATTTTAAAAATTCTTATCTCTTCTCCAAAGAATGAAAAACTAATAGGACAGCCACTTCTTGTGGATCAACTGAGTGGAAAACTAACGAAACCTAATATGTCAGTGACTCCTTCAGCTAAGGAAAATTGTGGAGATGGGCCTGATACTGGGGTCTGTGAAAAGAGACCGCACACTGTACCATGTGATTCTCATTCGAGGCATTATATTTATATTCCATCAAGACAAGATTCCCGAAAGGTAAAGTATAAATGCTAATCTTTTTAATATTTTGAGGTTAAAATAATTGTATAGTTTCAGGATATTTATATAGCCTCAGCATTGTTTGTCTTGGTTTCATGGATTTTTGTATATATCTTTTCTTTGAAGCATGTTTCTTTTTAGTACAACTGGTAGAGGAGATCTAGTGGAAGGGAATCAGTGAATGAAAATGATGTCTACATTTCATTAAGGAGGAAAAGCTGCCTTTTGCTGTATATTTTCGGACATAACTAAGCATGATAACTTCATGAATCTTTTTTTCTTTAATCACACAAAAGTGAGTTGAGGCAGGATATATTTCCTTTATTTAGTCCGCCTTGCTGTTTTCAAAGTGATACTTACATAGCATTTGGTTTTAGTTGATATAGTCTAGATGGCATCAAGATCAATATGAAGTTTAGTTTTTATTTATAAATATGCATATAGGTGGTAAATATACATACCCACAGGTTTATACTGAATACTTTATCAAGGACTTGCTACTGTAGAAATGACTTAATTGGCAGATTTATGCATTTTGGTGCCTATTTAGTAATTTTCCCACAAGCTGTCATTGAAGATAGGAAAGCTGTGTAATTTCTGAAAGAAGTGTGTGTCCATAAAACACAAGAATATGGTAGAATTAATTTTGACTTTTTACTGGAAGGCATATTTTCAGTGATTGGCTATTCCTAAGGAGTACCTAATAAGCTCCTTAAAACATTTTGAGTAACAGGAGAAAACTAGACATTTTAAAAATCACTTATTGCTAGACATGGTGGTACATGCCTGTAATCCCAGCACTCAGGAGGCTGAGATAGGAGGATCACAAGTTCAAGGCCAGCCTGGGCTACACAGTGAGTTCAAAGCCAGCCTAAACTACACAGTAAGACCTTATCCCCCAAAAATGAGACAAGAAAAAAAAGAATTTAAAAATAAAATAAAAATCACTTATCTTGTTGGGTGGGGGAATCACTTGCAAGGTCTACTCAAGTCTTCCTATGTGCTCTCTGGATCAAGTATTTGCTGGATTTCGAACACAAAGTGAGATGCTGTTGAGCCATATAGAAGAACAAGATGAAGTTCTCCATTGCCAGTTTTCTGATAAAAGTGATGATGAAGAATCAAGTCATGAGGAACCTATAACTAGGTATGTTAAATATAGTGTCATTTAATAAACATTATAATTAAGTGATGCAATAAATACAGAAGATGTAGTTTTTTCACTGAAGTATATCTTTTCTAGTTAACAAAAAAGTGGGTAGTTCTTCCCTTCAACCAATGTGCTAAGAAAATGTTTGAACACGTCATCAGTCTTACAAATGAAAAGCAATTTTGCTTGCAGATCTTTTGTAGTTACTAGACTCTAATTTTCTGAGGGAACTTTTTGAATTTCCTGATTCTGCTGTTTCATTAGTAGCAAACATGTTCAGTTTCCACTGGATCCAGCATTGGCAGGAGGTTCCTTTTACTTTGAGGAATAGTAATAAAAGTGTGCTTATTTTCTGTAATTAGTTTTTTAGCATTATAAGTTTTTAATATCAACATTTTTTGAGAAACAAATTTGAGGGTAGATTTGGAAATGTGAACAAACAAGTGACTTCAACCCCTACTTTTTTTTTTTAATGTAAAAGTCACTCGTGGAATATAAAATCTGATCCCGTTTGTTCTCTTGTTGAGTTGAATGATACTGAGGATGAAACACAAAAGGCAAATTTGGAGAATGAAGGTATGTTGACTTTCTCAAGTAATATAGACTTAATGTATATAAGACACTTACTTTTAAAAATATTTTTCAGTAGATAATTAGAGAAGCACCTAGGAATTCTCAAAACCCGAACCTGGTAGGAATGCTTTCTTGGTATAATTTCCTGTGCATTTTCTCTTCTACCTATAGTTTTGACTCTTTTATTCCTTAATTTTAAAATAAATCTTTTTTTTTTTTAACAAATGAGTTCTGGCTAGAGATACAAGCAAACTCTCAGAATAAGTATTTTTAGGGGCCAGGGATTTAGCTCATCAGCATAAGCGTCTGCCTGGCAAGCACAGGGTTGTGAGTTTGATCCCCAGTCCACAAAAAAAAAAAAGTATGAAAAAGAATAAGTATTTTTATATTTAGACCTGATTTGATATAGTTTGTATCCTCGATTACTTTACAACACATTGCTAGGTGTCTACTTACCTCTCTACTGGTACTCCACACTTCTACCATTAGTGATATATTTTGCAGTACAGCCTAATTTTTCTACTATGCTTGTCATATTTTAGAACAAATTGATCAGAATTTTTATGCATCAGATAATAGCATCAAAAGCATTTATGTTGCAGAAAATATAATGCAATATATAGCTCATCTCTCTTGGTCTATGGGTGGTTAACACATGAAAAATAAGGATATAGAGAATATAACATGATGAAAATAGCATCTTTTAAAAAGCCTATCCATATAATACCAAAACTTGACTGTAAGTATTGTTTTGTGGAGGATTGGGGATTGAACTCACGGCCTCATGCATGCTAAGCAGGCACTATACCATTGAGCTATATCCCACCCAACTACAAGTAAAAGTGAAGTAATTTTAACAGTGTAGAAAGAGTAAAGAGAAGTGCTTCTTGAGTAACCATTCTTGTGGCTCTAAGTGGTCTGCAACCAGGAAAGAAACTTTTGCCAGAATATAAATGGTTGTACTCATTCCTTCAATGCTTTGCTATAAAAAGTCTTAAAAAAAAATTAGCCTAAGGAAAGTGCTTAGTGACACAGCTGGTTTATAGTAGAATTTAGAATAGTAACTAACAAGGCTAGAACCTGGATTAGCAAGATATAGATGGCATTCTCATCACAATAGAAGATAATACAAAGAAATTCACACTTCTACCCACCTAGGGATTTCATGCATATTTCAAATAATGCCAGTTAAAGACAGTGACAAACCATATAGTGCAATATGACAAAGCACACATGTGTGCATGTGTGTGTGTGCATGTTTTTTTCACTACTGGAGACTGAACACGTAGCCTTCACACTGAGCCACCTCCGCAGTACTTTTCTTTGGTTTTTTTTGAGGCAAATTCTCAGAAAATCCAGAAAGGGTTCAAAATTGTAATCCTCTGTCTCAGCCTCCCAGGATTAGGATTATATTCATTACCATCTCTTTTTTTAATCTAAAAATTTTTTAAGAAAATGAAAACTTATTGTAAGCTGGAACCCAAAGTCCCAAATGCTATGCATTTTTTCCTCTTCCTTTCCTTCCTGTTTGTTTCTTCTTGTACCTCTAAATTACTTTTATTTTGCTTTTCTTTTAAACCGTATTTCTATTGAATATGTTAAGAACAGATATTCTTGCTTCTCAACATTGTTTCTTGTATTTTAAAGATTCAGAGATTGAATGTCTCCAGGAGAGTCAAGATTCGAATTTGCAAAAGTTAAAGCATTCAGAAGTCATACTTAATAAAGTTAAGCAAAAAATGAATGAACTTACAGTTAACATCAAGATGAAGGAAGATCTGATTAAAGAACTAATAAAAACAGGTAGTAGTATCCTGTGAACCAGCTTATATGAGAAGGAAAAGCTTCTAAAATTGCTTCTGATGTGACATTTACTTTAGTTTTTCATGCTCAGACTATCCACTATAGCTTGGATTAGCTCTGATATACTGTGTTTTAGAGCAAATACATAGAGATTAATTATCAAAAGACCTTGTTGTGCTGGGATTTAATTTACAAATTGTTCTAGCCCCAAGTAAGTACTGTGTTGTGCTAAAGCTCTGTGGCACTTAATTTCCCCTTTCCCTTAAAAAAAAAAAAAAAAGCCATTCTACTAGGCATCTAGGAACATATCCAAGATGTTTTTCTAACTTAGTTTAAATACTTATTTAAATTATTATTTTTTCATTGATTTAGCACATCTTTATGTTCATTTTAATCCTTTTATTTTATGTTGACTTTGTGATCCTTTGGCCTCAGCTTGCTGTGTGCCACCACACCTATGTAAAATTTGCTTTCCAGATGTAGTTTCTTTCTCTAAAAATACAAGGATTTCTTCTCATAGATGAGCCAGGCTTTTAGCTTTTCTCCTTTGTCTGACATCCTCCCAAATTGAGGATATTCTGTCCCTGTCCTTAGCTAGATCAGCTTTCCTACGCAAGCAGCTCAGGCTTTTGGATTTTTTCTCTCCCATTGTACAGTAAAGGATCAATCTTTATGACCTCAAAATTTAGTGAAGAATTGAAGGAATAAGAGACACTAGCATTTCTTTTTCTTCACCTGCAATGCAAAACAACTCTCCGGTCTCATTGGGAGAAGAAAATACTGTTTTCCTTCTCTGCCAGCCCAAGGCTGTAATCACATGCAGATGCCTCAGTTATGGTGAGAAGAAAATAAGCTAAGAGGAAAAGGGAAATTAAGTGCCACAGAGCTTTAGCACAACACAATACTTACTCAGGCTGGAACAATTTATAGGTTAAATCCCAGCACAACAAGGTCTTTTGATTAATCTCTATGTATTTGCTCTAAAACATAGTGAGTCAGAGCTGTATCCTTAGAACCAAGGATGGTGTGGAGCCTTCCTTTTCTTTCTACAAGTGTGGTTTCTAGCTAATGGTTGGCATCTTAAAGCTCTTCTTCCTCTTTCATAGTGAGCTGTGTGCTGTGCATCACCCAAACTCAAGTTGTCCTGGATATATGAGTCTGATCGTTCTTCCTCATGGGTGTGACCAAAGGCCACCTGACCCCACTTTGGGAATGTGTAGGACCTGATGCAAGGGTTTAAATAGATTCTTCGTCATGCAGCTGTAGAACAGTGTCTGGAAAACTGGGAAACGTTTAACCCACTGAACAGGCATGCATTTATAGCCTGGTCTACCCTTCCTGGTTGTTTTAAAATAGAGGACACCTGAACTTACACAAAGCTGATTTTCTTATTCCTTAGAACCAAGGTTGGTATGGAGCTTTCCTAGAGATTCTCACAGAGGGTGGCTAGCAAGAAATCATACATGCTTTTCTTCATACTGAAAATTTCTTCCAAATTGCAGCCACTTCAGCTAGCAGTAGACGATCTATACTATGCTGCCTCAGTACTAATACTGCCAAAATCAGAGCATGTGTTAGAATTAGTGGCAGCTTGGCCTTTTATCATGGTACAATTGGCACTGTAGCTTATAAACTATTGATCAGGTGAACAATTGATGAACAATTCAGATTTTTTAAAACACATAGTAGTCATTTACATATTTTTTTAACTTGAACCCAGGACCTCACGTGTACTCTTTACCACTGAACTATATCTCCAGTCCCAGTTGCATGTATTTTATAATTAATAGTTTTAGATAAAGATAGTTCACTCTGTATTTAGTTCAGTAACCACATTTTCCATTTAGCAGTGTAACAAATTTATAACAGTATCATCAACTGTTCCTGGGATATTCACCCCCGAAGCTAGACTCCTATTTTATACTACTGTGAATTTGCCAGTGTAGTTCAGAAAGTTTCCTGTTGGAATCAGTCAAAACCAAATCTTTGGTCAGTAGCTTAGCTTAGAATGAAAAGAAACTAATTTGTATGTTCTTTTTTTTATGTGCTCTAAATATTCCTCTAAAAGCATTTTAAAACAGTTCATCTTTAGCAAGTCCAATGTGATGAAAAAGAGAGTCCTTTCTATATTAAAAGATTCTTAAGGAGCATAATAACCAGATGTATTTTGGACCTTGTTTAGATCCTGATTAAGATAAACTAGTTATAAAAGGCATATTAAAAGTTTTTCTGGGGGCTGGGGATTTAGCTTACCGGCATAAGCGCCTGCCTTGCAAGCAGGCAGTCGTGAGTTCAATTCCCGGTACCGATAAAAAGGAAAAAGACAAAAAAAAAAAAGTTTTTCTGAATACAGACCAATGAGACTATGTTAGGTATGATAATGACTTTTTGATTGTGTCCATATTTTGTATGGATGCTTATTGAAGTTTGCAAAAGTGAGATGATAAAACATCTGGGATTACTTTTTAATATTTGAGCAATGTAAACAAAAGAAGGCTTATTGAAACAACTGATGAAATGTTCACAATTCTTTAAGCAGAGGTGGGAGTTCATTTATTATTTTTGATACATTTAAAATTTTTCATAATTTTTTTAAAAATTTTAATTCAAGAAAGTAGATATGGATAGCAGAAACCAGAGTACACTAATCAAGAGGGTAAAGTAATTTCCTGTTTAACTGGAGTTTGATGACAGGAAAATGCACATGTAAATTCAAGGAATCAAAAATGTGGTGCAAATACATGAAAAGTTGGGCTTGGGAAAGGATAGAACAGCACCAGATGGGACGGTGCCATGTTTGGGAATGGACAGGCTCTGCTGGTTTTGATGCCACACTTTAAGTAGTAACTCTGCCAACCCGGCCATTTTAGAGTAGAGCATTTCTGTGTTTTTACATAATTTATAATTGTTATTACTGTTATTATGGTAAAGGTAATGATGCCAAGTCTGTAAGTAAACAGTATTCTCTGAAAGTAACAAGACTAGAGCATGAAGCAGAACGGGCGAAAGTTGAGCTCACTGAGACAGAAAAGAAGCTGGAGGAGCTGGAGAACAACGAGCTTTCTGATGTTGCTATGAAGATAAAACTTCAGAAGGAATTCCGTAAAAAGATGGATGCTGCAAAACTGAGTGTCCAGGTAGCTTAAAAATGTACTTGAGAAATCTTTTTAAATCTTCTTTCTTAAGTGAGAAATTCTCAATTATATAAGAATCATTGAGGATTTTTGTACCAAATCTGGAAAGGAGTGGGATTCAGTTTTTTTTTTTTTGTACTGGGTATTAAACTCATGACCTAGCCCTTGCCAGGTAGGCGCTCATGTCGCTGAGCTAAATCCCCAGCCCCGAGATTCAGTTTTTATTGAGTGGCAAATTTTCTTTCCATTGAGTGTGCTGTTTGGTTTAAATATTTTATAATCTGGATAGCAGCTTCCTTCAAGAAGTATATTGTTTTGGGTTGGTGTGTAGCTCAGTGGTGTAATGCTTGCCTAGCATGTGTGAGGCCCTGAGTTCAATCACATGCATGTACATGGAGTACAGTACTTTAATCTTGACATCAAAAACTACATGGAGGGAAATAAAGATAATGATAAGCACAGAAATAGTACCTTTTTCTGAGGGACAGAAGATTAATTAGTGGTTAAACAATACCTGTAAAACACCAGGTATATATGTGGTACTTCGTTGACACTGAACAAGTGGAGACTAGTTCGGATAGTTTTCTGAAACCCTATCTGATTGTTTTAAGAAAGGTTAATAACTAAATACTACATCTTAGTACTTTACTTCTGTTTTATTTGTTTTGAGACAGCATCTCACTATGTAGTTCAGGCTGGCCTTGAATTCTTTATATATATATATTTTTTTTTTTTTCCTAACCTGAATTTAGCTATTACTTCAGAAATAGCTATAGTTAAAACTTATCTGAAAATATATTATAACCACAAAAATTATATTCCAGAGCTGGGGATGTGGCCTACTGGTAGAGTACTTCCCTAGCATGCATGAGGTTCTAGGTTCAGTACCCAGCACTGGAAAACAAACAACTATTCTGTAAGAAATACTCCATTTCAGAGAGACTTTTGTGTAAGGAAGCCATTTCCAATACATGTTAACTTGGTCATATTGAGTTTTCTAGAATGGCTCCTTTGGTTCTTTTTCTCTCTTAATGTACTGCTTTTATATTGTAGAAACAGTATTCCCTTGTGAACCTATCAAATTGCTGGTTAACCTATCAGAAATAAATGAAAATAGGGAAAATGGCTGCCCCTCTCATTGAATGAAAAGATGACATTTAGCTGGGGAGTATAAGAGCTGCACATTTTCATTTTGAAATATTCCATATAATCTCAGGTCTTACAGAAGAAGCAGCAGGAGAGTAAGAAATTGATATCATTGTCGATCCAAAAGGAGAAACGTGCTAATGAACTAGAGCAAAATATAGATCATTTGAAGTATCAAAAGGTACAGCTGCAAAAGAGACTTCGAGAAGAAAACGATAAGAGGAAACAACTGGATGCAGAAATTAAGCGGGATCAGCAAAAAATCAAAGTAATATTGTCATACATTCCTGCTAAATATAATGTGAAATGTCAGATGGCTCAGAAATAACAGAGCTGAGGTCTTAACCCTGTTGTGTAGTATTTGTCCTTGATCTGCCCGTCGTTGCTCTCCTTTCTCACTTTAAGGCTTTGTTCATTTCATAGTACAGTAAAACCTATTTATTGAATGTTGAGTACTGTCTTGAAGCTTTGACTTCACAAAAGAAGGTATAGTGATCAGATTTCTCTTTGTAGGATATTTGTTTTAGCTGAAATGGTCCACAACATAATTTTATAAAGCTGACTTGTAAATAACACTGAATAGGAGTTCCCATTTTCAGAGTGCTGTGACCTGAACTGCCCAATGACCTGGTGAAAAGGACTGGGTAAGATGGTCCCATTTCACTCCGAGTGAGCAGAGGAGTGATCAGACTGCCTGCCAGCAGTTTCTAGCATAAATCACTGGTGTGCAGGGAGAGTAATGCTGGGCTGGGCATTGAGTTCAAATCCCAGCTGTCATAGATGATGGCTGAGCTTTGTTGAGAAAATCATTTACTGTCTTTCTCTCTCTGACTCTTGTTTCTTCTCTGCAGTGCCTCACAATAGGCGCTGATGATCATAATAAAGTTATCTAGTGCTTTATACTAAGCTCTGTTCTGTTTGAACAATAAAAAGAACTCAGGGCCCAGAACATAATTGGAGGCTTACTAATTTTTTTTAAGAAAGACTGTATTTATAGGCAATTTTAAGTTCACAGAAAAATTGAGAGGAAGACGCCCACTGTCTCCACATATCCTAGCCTTCCCCATTAGAACCCTCAACCCAGGTTTGCTAGATTTTGAACATTGGACATAACCCATTTTTACAATGAAAAAAAAAATCACAGAATTTAGTTGTAGGAAGAATCTTAAAGAGCATTTCCTAATTTTTTTAAAAAACAGCTTTATTGAGATACAATTCACTCATTTAAAGTGAATAATTCAATGGCTTTTGATATATTATTAAATTTTATAAACTGTGGTAATATATATACAATATAGTTTATCATTTCAACCATTTTAAATGTATAGTTTAGTGGCATTAATTACATTCATAATATTGTACAACCATCACCTCTGTTTCCAAAACTTTTTCATTACCCCAAAGAGAATCTCTGACCAAAAGCAGTAACTTCCTATTCTTTCTATGCTCCAGCCTCTGATAACCTCTAATCTATTTTCTGTGCCTGTGAATTTGCTTTTTCTTGATAAGTTATGGAAGTGAAATCATGTTTGTCTTTGTCTAACTTATTTCACTTATCAAATTGTGTTCGCTTTTCATCCATGTTGTGCCAGGCATTAGAACTTCATTGCCTTTTATGGCTAAATAATATTCCATGTAAAGCTGGGATCAGTGGTACTCAGGAGGATTTCTTGAGCCTGGTAATTTGAGGCCAGCATTAGCAATTTATAAGTCAGAACTCATTAAAGGAAAAAAAACTATTGTGTGACTGTAGCACATTTTGTTTACCTATTCACCCATCAGTGGACATTTGGATTTGAAGTGCTCTCACCACAAAATACAGCATAGTACTATGTAAGAGCTGGATATGTTGATTAACTTGACTGTAGCAATCAAGTATATATTAGAACATTATGTTTCGTATTCATATGTGTTTGTTTGTTTATTATGGTACCAGGGATTAAATCTAGTGTCACTAAAACTCAGCTACATTTCCAACCACTTACTAAATTGCCTATGCTGGCCTGCTATCCTACTTTGTCTCGCCCTCCCAAATTGCTGGGATTATACTCATACACCACCATACTCAGCTATGCATAATTTTTATTCTTTAAAAAAATCAACTGGGTATAGACATATAATTTTTGAACTTTCAATTCTGTTCCATGGCTTATTTCTGTCTTCATGGCAGCATCACACTAGTTTGATTACTGTAGCTTTATAGTATAGTTTTAAAATAAATACAGTTGGAAGTAAACCCTCCAACTTTACTCTTTTTTGTTATTATTTACTTATTTAAATGAGGGGGTTGAGCAGGGTGTTGCTGTGTAGTTCTGGGTGTTCTTGAACTCATTATGGAGCAATCTTCCTGCCTCAGCCTCCTTTGGGATTACAGGCATGCACCACCCTACCTGGCTTATTGTTGTTTTAAATAGGTGGTATGGGCTTCAACTCACAGCCCTGCTGCCTCAACTTCCCAAAAGCTGGAATTTTAGGTGTATGCTACTATGCCTGGCAATTTTGCTCTACTTTTTCAAGACTGTTTTCATCATTCAAGGACCTTGCCATTATACATGAGTTTGAGAGTCAACTTTTCCACTTCTGAAAAAAGGGCTATTGAAATTTTGATAAGGATTGCATTCAACCTAAATGTCTTTTTTGGGGGGTACTGGGGATTGAACTCAAGACCTTGTGCTTGCCAGGCAGGCACTTACACTACTAAGCTAAATTCCTTGCCATTCAATCTAAATTTCTGAGTATACTGTACTAATCTTTTACTTCCTAGATTATATTTATTCCCAGATTAACTTATTCTTTTGGATGATATTGTAAATGAGATTGGCTTCTTAATTTCTATGAGCTGCTTATTTTTAATAATGGGAATAACTTGCTATAAGTAATAGTAATATTTATTATTTATATTCTGACAATATTAAACAGGCATGTGCCTTAATACTCTTTTCTCCTATTTTTTTTTTTACTTTTCCTTTTCTTCTATATTCTGTCTTTAAATATTTTAAATTTTTGTCATTTAAAATTACCCACCTTCAACCTTTTCTTTTACGGCTACTCAGTTTCCTCTTCCCTTCATGGCTGAGGTTCTCACAAAGTTGACCCCATTGTTTCTGTTTCTTCTGCCCCTTTCATCCTCTTACACTCTTTAGTCTGGCTCCTGATCCACTTCAAAGCTCTTAAGGAGTTTAGTGTACCTTCTGAGCCACCCCAGCGTTATTTAAAATAATTTTAAGAAGTGTGTAATTGTATATATTGATGGGGTGCAGGTGTGATACTGATATTTCAATGTAAACTCTTTCTATAACCACTCAGTCACAGCCAGCCCAGATTACCACTTCCTCCACCTTGTAATAGTTTTTTTCCTCTTTGCCTTTGTGATGTTTCACCCTCCTGCTCATCTCCCCCTTTTTCCCGCTTTTACCTGTCTTTGCTGGCTCATCTTTCCCTATCAGTCCTTCACATATGGCCTCTGCCCTCTTCTACACTTTAGGTGACCTCATCTTTTTCTGACATTCCCAAGTTGAATCCTTAATCCCAGATCTGTCTTGTGAGCTCCAGATTCATATGTTATCCAGCCATCTATAACTTCACTAAGTTGTCTTTAGATAAGTTTATGATGTTTCACACTGCCTACTGTCCCTGCTCCCTGCTGTCTTATTGGGGAGAAACTGGTTCTCCAGTGTGCCTCATGTGACATCGCGACCCACTCAGGTGAGTTAGAAATGTAGGAGACACCAGGGATTCTGTCCCCTTCCATCTTATTTATGCCAAACAAACCACTGAATCCTATAGAATATATCCACCACACGCCTTGAATTTGTTCAACTTTCACTTCTGCCAGTAATCATGTCTTCTGGTTAAATCCCTTTCTCCTATGTGAGAAGCAGGTCTGCTCATCAGTCTTGTGAATTTGACATTTGGGTCTTCATCTCTTAGGAGACATGGACTAAATTAGTAAGACATACACTCCCTCTATGCTTAGGGAAAAGAAGAATTCTTCAGAGTGCATAGATACTGAAATGCAACTCTGCCAGTAATGTAAACCTTTTATGTTCTTACCTAAGGCAATTTTGTTTCTTTTACGTGTATCTCTAATTTTAGGGAGATGACCAAATTTATGGGGCATAGTAGGTATTCCACAAAAAAAAGGAGCAAAGTCCCAAGGGAACTCTCGCTGTTTGGAGTTAACTTTCTAACACTCCAGGCTATCCATTTTCTATTTGGCTAAGTCACTACTGTGACTTCAGCATAGGCTCTCTTTAAAACAGCAGTTCTTAACAAAGGTCCACAGCTGAGTTTAAAGAATTGTGTGTTGAGTATGGGGTCATGAGTTCAATCCCCAGTACCCTTAAAAAAAAAAAAAAGTATGTGGCCAAGCATATAGCACATGCCTGTAATCCTAGCACTTGGGAGGCTGAGGAAGGAGGGTAGGCTCAAATTCGAGGCCAGCCTGGGCTCCATCAAGGCCCACCTGAACTACATGGTAAGACCCTACAAAACAAAACAACAAACAAACAAAAAACTGGGCAGTCGTATGATCTTGCATTTTTAACTTCTCTAAAGTACTCATTGTCCAAGAGCTGGGACAATAGCTCAGTGTTGAGGTTCACTTAGCATGCATAAGTGCGCATGCATGCACACGCGTGCGCACACACCCACACACATACACAGCATTATTTCTTGTCTAAAGTGGAGTTTGTAATAGTTCCTGTTTTGTAGCATTTTGTGAAGGGTTAATGTGATGACTAGCAGTAAGAAGTACAGTACTTTGTACACAATTATTTTCATACTTTAACAGGAATTTCAATATAAGAAAAAGGCAATAATGTCTAGAACAATGTGTGGAAAAGGGAATTAGACCCACTGTAGCATACCTCTACAGTATATGTGGATGAATAAGAATAGTAGGAATTCAACCTCAAGTATAAGTTGCCTCCATTTAAGAAGCTGTCTTTCAGCATCCTGAAGTTTCTGGAACTATAACAGAAACATCCACAGAACAACTCAGATGTGCATAGAAAATTTATTTAACGTAAAGCAGACCTGCCTTCTGTGAGCACCTCCTCGCCACCCCTACCCTAGGCTTCTACTATCCCACTCATGGTAATTACTGTGCTAGAAATACAGAAGGAACCAACCAAAAGCCCTGTCTATTCTTACCTTATTCTTAAAATGTAAACATTGCTTTTTAATAATTCTTAGGCCCCTTAAGTGACAGTTTTCATTCTCCTAGCCTCTTCCCTCCTGCACATCTCTTCTCTCAGAATGGCGCCCAGGACATGTGTGGCTGGACACATGGGTCTCTATGCATCCCATAGAGGGTGTGGAATCTGCGCTCCCTGGGCCACTTGCCCAGGGCTTCTAGTGATGAAGCCCAAACTTGACCACCTTGGGCTGCTCTGGCTTCTAGCTTAGAGCATAGGAGTGCTTTGGTTTTTATCTCATCTCCCTCTGGCCTTGTAAACTCATGCCAAGGCTCCTAAACCTTCTGTCTCACTTGCTAGCCCAGTGGCTTGCCCTTACCCCAAGTTTTGTGGCCCGTTCCCCATAATACCTGGCATGCATTGGCCTCAGTATCCATGGCTTATGAGACTATAAGGAGTGTAATTCTCCTCCTGCCTGAGTTACCTCTCCTTCCTCCAGTGTGCCTGGGCAGTCCCGTGAGGTAGGAGGTCTCTGCACTGTAGTGTGTGGTCTTTCTCCCAGGTGAGTGAGGGCCCCTTCTTCCCTCACTGATAGCCTTTGCTTATTACCCTCTGTCTGGGCCAAAACTCAGGGCAACTGGTATATTTCTGAAAATCAGGATTTCAACAAAAAGGATGACTGGGAAATAGACTTCTCTCTGCCGTTCCCAGGGCTGGAAAATACTTAGTCTTTCCTTTTACTCTTTTCTCAGTGCTTCTGTAATTTCCTGTTGGAGAAAGTACAGTTTTCATTTCATTACAAATTTGCCACAGCCCAGTAGTCTTACAAAAACATGAATTAGTAGAAAAATGAAGTTAAAATATAAAAATAAAAATGCATTTTTAAAATTATTGGAGTCAGTAAAGATAAAAGCCATCCTATTAAACTGCTATAAAAGTAAACACTTAAAACTTTCAATTCTGTACGTGGCCATTTTGGACCAGTAACAGATGTGAAAGAGCCCACTTCCATCCAGGGCCTCCATCCTGATTCCTGCCAATCTTTGGGGGTGAGGCAGCAGCACTTTCTCTATACCCAAGAGCGCACCATGAGCACTGGGCCTCTTGACTTGACCCTTAGGATGTAGATGAAAACTAAAGGGATTTAGAAGACACATTTCACAGAACCATGATGCCTCACTGTGCTGTTCTTATGTTGCAGATTTACATTTTTAGTACCAGAAACATACATATTAATGTCCTTTTTGCGTTTCTACTGTAAAATTCTAATATACCCATGGCAGGCAGCTGTCTTAGGTGGGCTAATCATGAAGACCATGAGCTCAGGAAAAAGAGAAAAGTCATTTGTAAGTTTTAGGCTCTTACTCCTTTTATGCTATTTTATAAGACAAAGAATGAAAAAAAAATCTTGAGTTTTGCAGTTCGATATTTTTGCCTCAGGGAAATTTTTTTCTTTTCAAATAGTCCCAACCCTAATGTACATTTTTTCTCTATTTTTGCAAGTAGGAATGTAAATGTTATGGGCTTGGCTCAGTGACAGAATGTGCACTTAGAAAGTACAAAGCCCAACATTCAAGCCCCTGCACTGAGGGGAAAACAAGAAAAAAGAAAACAAGTTATCATTTACATATTTAATGATAGCCACGCAGTAAATGACTAAAGAGTTTTAAATTTTTTTCTATAGGAACTACAATTAAAAACAGGACAGAAAAAAGGTCTGAAACTGAAGGCTGAAGATCTTGATACGTGTAACTTGAAAACAAAGAAAGGACCTTTTGGAAGTAAAAACCAACTCCAGGTTTGTTGATTCTGTTTAGCGTTTTTAGTTTCTTTCCACTTTTGAGGACTAAGTAGAGATGAAAAGTGGTGGATGCTGAATAAAATCTTTAAACACCAAACTTTTTTGCCACTTGCATGCTCAATTTCTAGTATTTTTCCTGAAATGCCTGCTATTAAAATATTTATTTTCTTATCCAGAAATGTGCTGTATTTTTATTTCAGTGGAATTGAACTTCCTTGAATGTTATGGAACGTAAACATGAAATCTATGTTTCAATTTTAATCAGGTTTATTATCATGGAGACCAGTATATTTCTGAAAATCAGGAGTCTACATTCAAACAGAATCAGATCATATACATAATATGGTAATGGCAAACCCTTTAGATATGAATTGCCAAATGGAGCCCCAAACCCACTTACTTATCACAAAGTACCAACCCTGCAATTAAACCTGCATAGTGACATTTTAGTTTTGAAAAAATAACTATGTTAACATATTTTGTGTTAAAAGAAAAACATAGTAACACATGTACCATAGGTTTGCCACCACTGATACAATGTACAGTAGTACTTTGATTTTTGTAAACTTGATTTTTGTAAAACCAAAAGATGGCCATTGTTTATCACCTGATAGGGAGTTTGTGACTGGAAGGAAAATTTTGCCAAATATTTGTTTGCAGACAGAATCATTTGTGAACCAAAGTATTTTGTATTAAAGAGCTATTACTTTAGCACATTAAAAAATATATGTCACAATCTATAAGCTAATTTCAAGGTTCAAAGAAATTGAAATATTTTATAAAAACAGTGTACTTAGAATTGTCATTACACTCAAAATAGGAAGTTCATCTTAAGTTTGAAAAATGTATTCTCCCTTATTTAATTTAATGTAATTCACTTATTTTTGTGGTACTGGGGATTAAATGACAATACCTTTGCATTGAGGTACATCTTCACTGATTTCTCATTTTTTATTTTGAGACAGTGTCTCACTAAATCACTGAGTTAGCCACAGTAAGCTAGAACTTGTGATTTTCCTGTCTCAGCCTCCCAGAGTGCTTAACTTATAAGCATGCACCACCACTCCTACCTGGGGTATGTTTTGTGAGAATATTAAGGTATTCATGTGGAGTATCTTTCCAGCTCTTTTACTTACTAATATCTGAAGTTGACAAGGTCTACTGTAGATTTGATTCATCCTCTATCTTTGTAAGTTTTCCTGTGTGTATCAACTACTTTACTCTATTTATTAGTTGATTGAATAAAGTTTTTAATTACACATTCTTTTGATATTTTATTGGGTGCCAACTGTGAGTCAGGATAAATGGAAAGAAGACCAGAAACAAGCACTCGAGCAGCTCAGGAAAGTGGAGGCATGAGGAGGGGTAGTGTTGTCTTGTGCTGTAGCGGAGTCACTCTCCTCTGTGGGCAGGAGCCTGGCCTTCTTAGCACAATATCCAAAAAGATCAGTATTCAGAAAGATTGTCAACCTTTCCTTTGTCAGGGCCCAGTTCTCCAGACTCTTTAACATATCTAGGGAATAAATTTTTAATTTCCTAGAAAACAGCAGTAATGTATTCACCTCCTTAGGGTTCCAGACAGGAACATGAGTCACTCTGACTGTTTATGCATTCATTCCAATTTTTTCATCTGAAATTATATTGCTACCATATAATTTTTATGGTAGAAAGAAAAACATGAGAACATTTCTTTGGAATTTTCATGTAGAAATTGGATGAACAGAAGAAATGGTTGGATGAAGAAGTAGAGAAGGTTCTGAACCAACGCCAAGAATTAGAAGAGCTGGAAGAAGACCTGAAGAAGCGGGAGGCCATACTTTCTAAGAAAGAGGCCCTGCTTCAAGAAAAAAGCCGGCTGGAAAGCAAGAAGCTGAGATCTAGTCAGGTATTTTTTTTAATTTTCTGTTTGATTCTAGTCCTAGTTTTTTTTTCTTTCAAGAGGCATTTTATATCATTGCCAAGTTGGAAACCAAAAGAGAACTATTCTTGTTTTCTGTGTACCTTGCTTAATTTTACTTATCTAATCACCATAACCAAAATCTATAGGAATTTTGAATTGAAGTATTAAATATTCTTTTTTTTTAAAGCAACACAGCATTTTACCACAAGACAACCCATAATTAACAGTAACTACCATGTCTCTTTCTTTGAAATAGTTGAGCATAACTTCATATACGATAGCATCAAATGTAACAAAATAGTATAAAACTATTCAAGAAAATGAAAGAATTACAGGGCATTCAGAACTAAATAACAGAGAACATACAATGGCTACTATAATATCTCATTTTCCATAGAAAATTTGTTTATACTGTCACACCTAATAAAATCTAATAAGATATAATCTGATAGAACCAATGGAGACAGAAGAACAAAAGCATGGTAGGACTTCAGAGTAAGATGATATTAAATCAGCACTGGCTATTATAACGTTTTGTTTTCTTCAAAATAGCTATTCATACTATCACAGATGATAAAATCAAACAAAACAGAATAAAACCATTCCAACTAATGAATGCAAACATTATAAGGCTTCAAAGCAATGTAATGGGAAATCATGATTACCATACTGATGTACTCCTACCATTTCTTACACTAGGGATACTATATAGTATTTATATATGTGAGTTTGATTTGAGTATGGTCTCAAGTTGCGTCCATTTATTTATAAATATCTCAATGTGATCCTTCTTTATAGCTGAGTAATACTCCACTGTATGAAAATATCACAACTTTTTTATCCATTCCTCAGTTGATGGACACTTAGGTTGTTTCCAAGATCTGGCTATTACAAATTGTGCTGCTATAAACATGGATACACATATATCACTGTGAAGTGTTAAATATTCTTCCAAATACGATTTGCTATTAACTTTTTATTTTGCCAAAATATGCTGAACATAAAATTTACCTGTTTTACATTGTACTAGAGACTGAAGTCAGAGCCTTGCACATGCCAGGAAAGAGCCTTACCACTGAACAAATCCCCCAGCTCCATTTTAGTTGTTTTTAGGTATACAATTTAGTAGCATTGATTATATTCACCTAAATCCTAATCATTAAGCAGTGATGCCCATCTCCCCCACTTCTAGCTCCTGGCATTGTCTATTAGTAGCGTTAATGTTAAATTAGTTGTGCCTTGCTTTCTAGTGAACATTTGTAATTTGGAAAAATAGACTTGAAATCTCTCTGGCTGAAACCATTACTGTAAGTTAGGAGTTTGCAAAGAAAGGAGATTTTGTATAATAACCCCCCCCCTTTTTTTTAATTATAAAGACTTAGACCTTCACCAAAGTTATTCCGGGAGGATTTGTACTTTATGAGTGAGCTAAAGAAGTAGTTTGATAGTTGAGTTTATAGGAATGATTATAGATTACTTTTGAAAAAGGAATGATTGTAGGAGAAATAGGACACAAACAGTAGCATCTAAAAATGAGACTGGCTTGACCAGACTTGAAGGTTTTATACCTGTTACCTTCATCTTTGACAGCCTTGGGTCCAGTATCAGTCTGCTTACTGAGTTACAGAACAGAGGACAGTGACCTGCCCAATCTATTAGCCATGGCTTTCAGTCAGTATCTAGCTCTTTAGGGGTGGAGTTGGTGGTGTGTTGTTAATCTCTCCACACTGACATAGCAGGTACACACCGATGACGAGCTGTACTTACCTCTGCTCCATTTGAGTCTACACTGCAGTGGCTTTTCACAGCCAGCCACTGGACACAGATTTGATGGTGGCCCCTTTACAGATTTAGCTGCAGGTGATACATTCAGATATGTAACTTGCTAAAACTCACTGTCAGGGCAGAAGGGTAAAATATATTCCTCCGAACATGTGAATAATAGGCAGAAATTAACAAATTAAATATCAAGTGAGGAAAAGTTATGATAACAACACATTATAATATGTTCTGTATAAGAAAAGAAAAGGAAAATAAGAATGAGAAGGGGAAAGTATTTTCTTTGAAATGAGTTAACTTTATGGTACAGAAAAGGAAACAAAAACAGCTAATTTCTGTTTTATAAGCAAGAACATACTGAGGTAACCAGGGAGTGCAAATAATGAAAACCACAATAAAGCAGTGCAAAGCCAATTGTTTGAAAAATTGTCCTAACATGTTCACCATGGGGCCATAATTTGTATGTCTCGCTGCTGGGCAGCTTGTACCACTGGAGGTATGTGAGCAATGACTGTCTTGTTAAAAGACCAATAACAGTTATCAGACCTGTTTTTACCACTAGTGGTGCAAGCCACTGATGGACAGTCACACATGTACTAAGGGTGATTTAAGCTGGAAGGAACATGTTAAAGAAACATAAAAGAAACTTAAGGCTGTTACCCAACTGGTTCTTTCCTGAACAAAAGGCATAAAAAAATTGTATCTTTGTCAAAGTTTAAGAAGTATTTATAAAACTCGATTGTATGCATTTCAGACAAGGAACATGATGGATTGAACTCATGCATATTATTGCACTAAAATGACAGAAAAGAAATATAGTCACATTTTATACAAATTTAGCTTAACATGTACACAGACCTACAGACAAAAATAATAAACCTCTTAAAGGAACACATAGGCATACATTTTTGTGACAACAGATAAACTATCAAAATATAAAAATTTGTGATGCAAAGGACACTAGCAAGAAAATACAAAGACAACTTATAGAATGAGGGAAATATCTGAAAATCATGTATCTGATAAGAGGCTAAAAATATATAAAGAACTCTTACAACTCAATAATAAAAAGATGACTTACTTAAAAATTAGCAAAGGATTTGAAAAGACTTTTCTCTAAAACAGATAACCACCTTGTCTTACATACTTTTTTGTTGCTGGGACAAAATACCTGACATTCACAAGTTAAAGGAAAGATTTATTTGGCTCACAGTTTGTAGAGATTTTGGTCCATAGTTGGCTGGCTCTAGGGCAGAGTGGCTTGGCAGAGAGGCAGTGCAGAGGACAAACAGCTTGTGGCATGTCAGGCAGGAAGCAGAAACAGAGATCAAAGGAAGGAGGGAGATAGACTCTTCCAGGCCATGCCCCCTCAGTGACCATTTTTTCCAATAAGGCTTCACCTTCCAACATTACATTTAGCTATACTATGCCTCCATAATCCAGTCACCTCCCAAAAGCCCCACCTATGAGCACATGAAGCTTTGGGGGACTTCTAGACATAAAGCATAACACAATGGAAAAGGGGATTTTCTGCAAAGGCTGTTAATCACATTAAAAGATGCACAACATCATTAGCCATGATGGTAATACAATCAAAAGTTAAATGAGGTACAAGTTTATACTCGTTAAGATAGCTGCAATCAGAAAAACAAATAATAAGTGTTGGTGAAAAGGTTGAGAAACTGGAAACTTCATCTATTGCTGGTGGACTATAAAATGATATAGTTGCTTTGGAGAAGAACTATCTTGGAGTTCTTTTTTGGTACCTGGGATTGAACTCATGATATTGTGCTTGCCAGCCAGGTGCTTATACCACTGAGCTAAATCCCTGGCTCTTGAGTTCTTCACAAGGTTAAACATAAGAAATACCATGGGACCCAGCAGTTCCAATGCTAAGTGTGTGTATATATATCCAAGAGAAGTAAATATGTGCAGACAAAAACTTGAACGTGAATGTTCATGGTAACATTATTTATAATAACTAAAATATAAATCAACACAAATATTTGTCAACTGATAAATAGGTGAACAAACAGATGTATTTGTATAATAGAATAATCAGTTGGCAGTAAAGAGTAATGGAACACTGATACCTGCTACAATATGGGCGAACTTTGAAAATACATGTTAGATGAGATAAGCCAGTCGTGACAGACCACCTTTGTATAATGCCGTTTATACTAGGTGTCCATAATAGGCAATTCCATACAGACAGGCAGTAGAATAATGGTTGCCTAGATCTGGTGAGGGCTTGGGGAACAAATAGAATGATGGCTGAGGTATGAGGTTTCTTTTTGTGAGTGATGAAATGCTCTAACACTGGTTGTGATAGTTGAATATACTAAAACCTTTTACATGTAAATAGGTGAATTGTGTGACGTGTGAATTATATCTCCTAATTTGTTCAGAAAAAAAAACCTATGAAGACAGTAGAAGAGGTAACAGAGGAAAAGGCTACTCCCCCACAAAACAGTCTAAGCAAACAGATGAGCATCTATTGACTTAACAGAACAGAAGAACCTGGAATCCAAGTGCTTATGAAAGCCAACACTTTAGCTTTAATTTCCCTTTAAAAATTCAAACAACAACAACAAAAAACCAGCTTTAAAAAGATATAATTCAGCTGAGTATGGTGGGGCATGCCTGTAATCCTAGCACTCAGGAGGCTGAGGCAGGAGGATTGCCATGAGTTTGAGGCCAGCCTGAACTGCACAGACCCTGTCTCAAAAATAAAAATCACATGGACCATCAAAAAGACTCAAAGAACAGAATTAAGAAGGCAAGAGTGAGGCACAGGAAAAAAAACTGGATACACTCAGGAAACTTCTTTTCTCGCCTGGCACCAGGAGAACCATGTACAGCAGAGAGTCAGGGTGAATAGGGTATCCCAAAGATACACTGGGTACTAGTCTGCATAAGAGTTCTGAGGGCCGCCCCCACATCCCAGATGCTGGTGGTCACATTCTTACCTCCCAGCAAGCTGCTCTTCTGAAACCAGCCCTGTAAAAAAATTAAAAAAGCTTGAAATCACCTTTGAAATCCTGTATGTATCTTTATTTGTTTGAAACAGGATCTCACTATGCAGTTCAGGCTGGCTTTGAACTTGCTTATGTATAGCCCAGACTAACCTCAAACATGGTGATTGTCCTGCCTCAGCCTCCCCTGTGCCTCCCAGTGCTGAGATTACCAATGTGCACCACCAGGCCTGGCTCCTACATGTATCTTATGCTATCTTATCAGCTTTTTAATACCTGATTCTTAATGCCACCAATTTGAAAGAGATGTCACCAAGACAAATGGAACAAAGAAACTCAGAAAAATTAAGGACAGTCAAAGAACTGAAAAATCTTCAAAAAATACCTTAATATCAATGTGGCAAAAGATGCTACATTATCCATATAACAAGCATGAAATAACTACTGGGAATTATCAGGGATAGAGGATAATGTTAAAGAAATACCCTAGAAACTAACAAGATAAATCACTAGAAAATAGAGGGAAATTTTTTAAATGGCAGATAAACCCAGGAAGTCAACACTCAAATAATAGGAATTCCAAAAAGATACAATAGAAAAGAGGTGATTAAAAGGCATAATATAAACAGTCGCCCCAACACTGAGGATGCATGGTTCAGGCTGAAATAGCCCTGCAAGAGGCCTATAAAATGAGTGCCCAGCACATGGTGAAGGTTTGGGTGTAATTGGAAAGGCTGGTCATTTGTCAGTTTCAAGAACCAGAGACACGGATTTCTCAACTGTCTTTGGAGTTTAAAAGACTGAAGCAAATTTTAAATTCAGGCAAAAAGTTATTTCATTCTCTTATTAGCAAATCCCTTAATCAAATGTGAAGGCAGAATAGTGCCATTAAAAAAAGCTCCTGTATCAAGCTGTCTCAGGGAACTAGCAGAGGATGTGCGTCATGAAAATAAAAGCATAGACTTTATAATCCCAGCAGTCAGGGAGGGTGAGACAGACAGACTGCAAGGTGGAGTTAAACTTGGTTAATTTAATGAGGCACTGTCTCAAAATAAAAAATAAAAAGGGCTTGAAATGTAGTTCAGTGCAAAGACTGTGTTCAATTCCCAGGACCATAAAAAAGAAAAAATATAAACAACAAAAGAGGAAGAGTCTGAATTCTGAAAGGTGTGATCCAAAACAGAAATTCCTAGGACGTACCCAAGTCAAGTCTCAGGACAACTAGTCCTATTCAGAGCAGGAGGATGGAGAATCTGTCCATGTTTCCAGAAAGGAACAGATTGAAAAAAGTTAGTTTTAAGGTGCAGAAAATCAAATGGAAATATGCTGATTTAGCTGTGAGTAAATACTAGTCACAAAGTCCTAATTAGATAAATAATGATTTAACTAAAAGCTGTAATACAGCATTGGCAGGGAGGAGAGGCGGGGAGGTGTGAGTACTAAACCCTTACTACTGTTACCCGCAGTTAACAGACAACACCAAAATTGGTAATGTTATTTAGGGACATGGATATAAACACGAGAAAAAACTGCTAAAAAGATTGCAGGAGGCTGTTTCTGGAGAGATGTATTCAGGTAAAAGTTTGCTGGAGACTACTGCATTTTGTAAGTTATAAACTTTATGATAATATACACATAGACATATTAAATCATATATATGATTATATATATACACAAGCCAGGTATGCTGGTGAATGTCTGTGATCCCAGCTACTCTAGAAGCTAAGGCAGGAAATTGCAAGTCTGAGGCTAACCTGGGCAACTTAATGGAACTCTTTGTCTCAAAGTAACATTTTAAAGGGACATAGGATGTATCTCAGTGGTAGAGTTCTTGCCTGGCATGTTCCTCTGGTTCAATCCCTAGTACCAAGAGAACTTTATAATAAATTATTTTAAATTATAATAAACATGTCCGTAAACCTGAGCAGATTTAGCCACATTTTCTTACTAGATTGAACTAAGAGAATAGAAACAAAATATGTTTAGACTCACCAAATCTTAGCCTCTGGGGAATGAGAAGCATATAACAGGCCAAAGAAGAAAAGTTCAATTTAGAAAAGAAAAAATAAAAATCTTACCTTTCAAACCTAGCCAAGGTATACTTGATAATAAATTCATAGCATGAGTCTACACTTTTTTATATTAAGTAATTTAAGATTGTATATCTTGATCCCAAAAGGTCCATGGGAGAAAAGAATTATGGAAATGGTAACAGTCTATTCCATTGAGTAATCTTCTCTGTGTCTTCCTGACTTGTAAGCAGTAGAGTTTTATTTGGAGTGTCTGGTGGTTTGTATCTTTGCAGGCGTTAAACACAGACAGTGTTAGAATCTCAGCTCGCCTGAACACACTGGACCAAGAACTGTCTAAAAAGAGTGTGCAGCTCCAGAGCAGCACAGCTGAGGAGAAAATGAAGATTTCAGAACAAGTTCAAGCCCTTCAGAAAGAAAAGGATCAGCTCCAGAAACGAAAAGACAGTGTGGATGAGAAACTGAAACACAGTAACACCCTGTCCCCTGAAGTAAGTCCATACTCTCTGGAACTGGAGGTGCTCTATGGGGATGGTGACCAGCTGATTTCCTCGGTCTCTGTCACACGGCCAGAAACATGATGACATAAACTTGGTTTCCTTGAAACTTTGTCAGCCATAATGAGTTCATCTGGCATCTGTTTGGCACACAGATCATGTTTGACCATGGACAGATGTCGTCAAGCAGTGGCCCACAGATGTGGCCCTTTCTGGCATTGCCAGACACGAGGAAACTAATCCTTGCCCCGAGCATGCCCTCCGCAGCTAGGGTTTTTCATGTTAAGTCCCAGAACAGTGATGTTCCAGGGGACACTGTGCGCTCTCCAGCATTACTTAGCCTTTCTGTGGGTCTTTGGGCTCTGGTAATTCACTCCACACCTCAGACACTTGTGCCTCAAGGGCTTTGAACCCAGCTGAGAAGGGGCCTCTTCCATACTATGTCCTGATAAACAAATGCACAAAGTTCAAATTTCAGTGAGATGGTTTTAGTTAGCATTCATTTAGGAGAACATATGCTCCTCTTATTTTTATTTTTTCATGCAAAAAGATGGTTCATTTATTAACTATCAGGTTACCCATGCTTTATCTTTTTAAAACTTTTTATTTCAGTTGGTAATGGTCAGAGTACCTAACTTTAACTGATAAAGGTGAATTTGGGGGCAGGACTATGCTGAGACGGGGTCTCACCATGTGGTCTGGGGTGACCTCAGACTTACTATGTAGCTCAGGCTGGCCTTGTGCTTGTGGCAGTCCTTTTGCCTTGGCCTCCCAAATGCTGGAATTACTGGTGTGTGCCACCACATCCAGCCAGAGATAAATTTTTGAACTTGGATTTTCTCTGCAAATATTTACTATGGATGTCCAAAAGAAGGGGAAATTGCTAAGAGAAGGCCAGTGGCTGAATCTGGCAGTGTTTTAGATCGGTCAAAGAGGAGAAAGCTGAGGGGCTGCTGAAGCAGCAGCAGAAGGGTGGCACGGAATGAGTTAGTGCTCACGGAGCCATAGAGGGAGCGGAAGGCTGACTTACCTGGGAGCTGGGAGGCTGCCGAAGGAGAATCACACCCTGACTGCTATGTGTGGGCTAACCTCCTGGGGACTCAGAGCTGTTAGCTTTGCAAACTTCAAGGAACACCAGGACCATACACAGGCTTTATGGAGGAAACAAAGAAAGTAGAAAAGACAGTATTATTGTTTCCTTTGAGAAATTCATACTTTCTCTGAGAAAAGCAACATATGTAAGAAATTTAAGAAAACTCTAAATCCCAAAGTACATTTTTAAAAAACAAGTTATACCTAATGCAGTAAAACTGTAATTACTACATGTGTGCAAAGCAGTACAGTGATCATTTGAGGAAAAATACATCAAGGCTGCCTTGGGATTAGAATCTTAAGCTAAATGATAAGACACAGAATGTACTACTAGCAGGCCATTCCAGGGAGAATGCTGAAGGAGGGCATGGAGACAGGCGTGAGTAAATTACCACAGAAGACTCAGGCCTGCTGTTTATAAAGCAACATTAAGGCTTCTTTTCCTGACGTCACTGTGTGGGACACCTGACTAGCAGCCACCCTTGCTTTACTCTGGGGGTGATGTACTCCCACAGGCGCTGGGCGCCCATTTCGTTCAGGGAGTTTCTATGTGTTCTGTGGGGTAGGTTCTCCATGTGCAGCTCTCAAGTAGCTTCTTTCTCATTACTGTTTTAAAGTCAAGATCAGTAGTACCAAATAGACCTGTTGATGGCAGACAATGGGAAACAGGGATTTAAAGAGACACAGGACATCAGTAGAATAGCAAAATAGTCTGCTATCTTGATGTTTTTAAGATTGCTTAAAATTACAGTATTTTCTCTTTCTTCATTAATCATTTTTCCTAATTGTATTACTTTTTAGGAAATGATAGGCTTTTTTTTTTTGAGACAGGATCTTGCTGTACAGTTAAGGCTGGTCTTGAACTCACTGTGTAACCCAAGCCAGCCTTTTGCATTACTTTTCTTGCCTCAGCCTCCTGAGTGCTGGGATTACAGGTTGTGTGCCACCATTCCAGGCCAGGAGGTGATAGATCAGTATCCTAATAAAGGGTTAGGATTAGAAATTTACTATATGTAGATCACCTCCCCTTTTTCAGTAAAATCCAGAAAAAAAAAGAAACCGAACTCAACTGCCTCCTTCTCCTCTTCCTTTGCAATTTTTTTTCATTTTCCATTTTTCTTTTAGTACTAGGGATTGAGCCCAGGACCCTCACCTAAGCTAAATCTCCAGTTTTAAAAAAAAAAGGTTGGAGGGCTAAGTCACTAAAATTATCGAGACTGGGCTTAAATTTGCAGTCCTCCTCCCTCAGCCTTTCAGAATGCTGAAATGACAGGCATGTGCCACCAGCTGAGGTTTCTTTTTAAAATTATCATATATTCACTTATATATGGGGAACAGCATTATAGTTAATACATGTATACAAAGTGTAATGATCAAATCAGGGGAATTAACATTTTAATCTCATCAAATACTATTGTTTCTATGCTGTAGAAACCTCCAGGCTCTTGTAATTATTTTTGAAATGTGAAATAAACTTTTTGTAGGCTATAGATGTCTACTGTACTCTGAGCATTAGACCAGATTCCCCATCTGTGTTGTACCTATGAGCCAGCCACTCTCCTTCCTAGCCCTGTCATGACCACTGTTCTACTGCTGTGTGATCAGTGGTTTTAGCTTCTACAAATGCTTGAGAACATGTGGTATTCGTCTTTCTGTGGCTGGCTCATTTCACTCAATGCAGCGTCCTTCTAGTTCCATCCATGCTGCCATGTGACAGGAGATCTGGTTCTTTACTAACACAGCCACTCTGCCTATAAGTGAGGTTAAAGAAGAAAATATAAGTTGTTTTTTCTTTCAACTTTGAAATGTTTAAGTCCATGTTTTATGGTTAAAATTTATGGAGAAATGTACATACAGTATATACAGTATTGACTCACACATTGCTAGTTTTTTGTCTTGTTTTGCTTTTTACTGATAGGGATGTGTGATCTCACAGAGTGATTTTTGTGCCATTGGCAACAGCATCCCAGGAGGTGTGGTCTGGTGGACTGCAACCTCCATCTGAATCTGCATCTGAACTAGCCTCTCAGCCACCATTAGGTCTAAAAAGCAGCACACTATGATAAAGCACTGTCAGCTCCTCAAGGCCTGTGGTTTCCCATGGCATCGTATCTTGTCAGCTTATACCTGCTGCTGCGTCCAGGAACCACAGCACCTCTGTGCTGCAGTCTCCCAGAGTAGGCCACTGTCTGGGTTCTGTAGTCACAGCGTATTATCTCAGCACTTCTTCAGTGCAGATCCAAGACTGCAGAAACTACATTTACACTGTCTGTGTTGTGTTCAGCCATGTATAAGGCAAACTCTGCACATTTCAATTAAAAGGTAAACACAGTATGAATTCAAAGGTGAAATATATTCTTTCAATATTACACTTTATTTCATGGTTCCTCTGATTCACTTTTCAATATTTAAGGTTTTTTTTCTTTAAAAAGTGAATATCATTTTGTTCTTTATAGAACAGTTTTCAAACTCTCAGATTACTGATGGTTAGTGATTGCCCAAAAAAGTAAAATGACTGTTGAACATGGTTTCTGAAATGGCTTTCAGAAGATTTTACAAAATGGAGTTTAAAAATATTATTCAACCTCCTATTCATGTTTTTTAAATTTAAAAAAGGATTTCAAAAGTCATTCAAACTATTCTTTAGGTAGATCACAAAAGTGTGCATTTAAGATAAAGGCATGAAAAATATTTTTCCCTCTCTTGTATAACTTACCCAACATTTAATTTAATTAATGTCACATGAATTTAAATCATGTGACAGATACTCTGCTAGGCAGTGGGGTAGTAAATATGGGAAAGACAGTTTAGGTGACCTCCACAGCAGGAATAAAAATACACACACCGTGGTGATCGGAAAATGCAGTGAATGTTTTAATTTTTTAAAAAAATGTATTACAGTAAAAGACACCTTATTGTTAATCCTCCTCAATATATTCTCTCACTCTGAACACACTTAACATTATTGCCACTGTCTGAAGCAGTTCTGGAAGTCCTCTTTCATGAGTGTCTTCACCGGATATAATAATAAAAACAGTAAATGGTGCTGCCAGATGCAGGCTCATAAAAACATTAATGTGGCTTCTTCCATCTTATTCATCAGATCTGGTACTGTAAGACTTCTGGCTCTTCCCCAAAGCCAAAATTAGTATGAAATTGAATTGATTTGGACATCAAGGCAGCCATACCACTGCAACCAAAGATACTGCAGAGCTGCTTCCAAAAATGGCAAAAACAATGTGGTAAGTGTGTGCAAAGTGAGGAGGACCTGAGGGACAGGTATTAAAAGCAGTGTGTCTTATACCATAGTGCATTTTTAAAATTTTTAAACACACACAGTATGTTTTCTCATATCATGGATCAGTCTGAAATAATTTCTTACCAGATATTTGGTCTCATTCCCCCAAGATCACATGTGTCTGGATAGATCTAAGAACTGGTAGGTTTTCTGACAAAGAGTCATCAGATTGATTTTTTTTCTACAAAGAAAAATCTCTGGCATATGAAAAAGTGTTATTTTGCCACCATTTTTGATGCTTCTGTTTTCCCTTTTAGTGACACTTTGAACCTTATGAAATGTTTATGTCCGTAAATCTTCACATTTCTGTTAAGCTATCGTTTGTATTTTTCCCCCCAGAGACTCTTTAGTATGTTTTGTTTTGTGAGATAGGGTCTTGCTATGTAGTGTAAGCTGGCTTTGAACACTGTATGTAGCCCAGACTGGCCTCAAACTCATGGCAATCCTCTACCTCAGCCTCCCAAGTACTGGGATTATAGGCATGCACCATTATGCTCAATTAATTACTAGGTTTTTTTTAGCATTTATTCTACATAATATCTTTTCTTTCCTAAAAAAATATTGTTTTGATAGGTCATTGGAGGAATAGTAAAGGCCTCTAGATTTCACTGGTGGAAATACTGTTATACAAAATGCACTTTAGGAATTGTGCAGGAAGATAACAATACCCTGGACTAGGTGATTAACATTTACTATATTACCTTTAAAAGTTTCAGAACTCATCAAATTTCTGCAACATTCATTTTATTATATGGGTTTCCTGTGAAGATTTGGTGATTATATGTTATACACACACATACACACATTGTATAGCATAGAATAAAAAGTTTTTTTTTAATTTAGAAAAAGAATGATACTATCCATTAAATTCAAACAGCACCATAGGATCTGACTATATTACAAAGTCCACATTACACTGTTTCTCTTGACATGAGTGATTTCTGTTGTGTCCTATCTAGGAGGAACATGTTCTTTTCCAACTTGAAGAAGGAATTGAGGCCTTGGAAGCTGCAATTGAATACAAGAATGAGAGTATCCAGAGTCGCCAGAACTCACTGAGGGCATCATTCCAAAGTCTCTCTCACAGTGAAGCAAACATCTTGGAAAAACTGATTTGCCTGAATCCTGTTGAGATTAGAGCTATTCTTTTCAGATATTTTCACAAGGTTTGTGTTTTAGGAGTAATGTTTGCTTATAAAGAGGAATCAAGATGCTCCTCGTATTTATGTTGAATCTTAAAAGAAAAGACTCAGTGATTTGATGGCAGACTATAGCTTTAAACCATGATTTCTCTTCATGGTTTCTCCTTCTAGTACTGAATCTTGTCATCTAAAGGCTCTGATTATTCAAATGTGTTGGCCTAACTTGGTGAGGTGCTTAAAATTGGAGAGTGTTTTGGTAGGCCTAGTCTTAAAAATCAAAGAATTTAAATTCTATTCCTTATTATTTCTTGGTTTCTTGATTTAGATGTTTCTGTACACCATTCATGAAAAAATCAGGGGGGTCCTCCAAGTTTTGATTCCTTTTCCTTCATTGCTATAGAGTAGGATAAACCTGTGCTTTCTCATTATGTAAAAAGAAATGGAGATGAGTTGATACATGGTAGCAATGATAGAAATAGGTTTTATTAATCCAATGTGCTTAAATCAATGAAAATATTTTACTCTTGTGCACTTAACAATTTACTGACCCAGAGATGTTTCATGGCACTGCAAACTGTATTAATCTTTAACTTTTTCCACTTAAGATTATATATTACAAAGTATCAAGTAATTGGTTCCTTTTTGTGAAAAGGATGTATAAATTATAGAACTATCAGACATTCAATGAAAAACATTAAAGTTTTTTAAGAAGTTCAAATTGTGTGAAAGAAAACATTATAAACTGCCTCTTCTTAGAGAATCACTGTCAGTAGTAAGTTACTGTTGCTGATGAGTGTGTACCTTACTGACCTATGTGTAGAAGGCAGAGAAATGGGGGAGTGCTTTCCTAGCCTTACATGTAGACCTTGTGGTTCACTTAAAGTAAGAGTTCATAACCCAAGGTACCTGGGCAAGCTTGGCGGATTTTCTCATCCTGAGAATCCCTTCCAGAATAGTATTGATCTGGAGAGGTCATTAGATTATTAATAAGGTCTTGGTGTAGACAGTATGTGCCAAAGTACATTTACTTAATAATTTATTACCCACAGAGAAGAATTCAATAGCCAAAATACAGGGCCTGAAAGTGAACATCTGTGCTTACTTACCCATTTTGGCTTTAAAGCAGGGAATTATCTAGATGTTGCAAGCGTCTTTAGCATCTCAATATCCACATAGACTAGAAAAACAGAGTTATAGTATTATAAAATGTAAATTACAGAGATCATGTCTAAGAATCCTTGAAGGGGTGATTGATTATTAGACCAACATTATATTGAAAACAAAAGTACTACCAATTCAGAATTCCAGCAATGAAAAAGCTGTTAGGTTACTTCGTGAGGACGTTATAAAGCTTTTCCTGGAGGACCTAGTACCTTTGAAGAAGCTCTTATATTTTGGAGATTAAGTAAATACATCTTTAGCCCAGGAAAGGTAAATTAATTTATTGTGTTAGACTAAGACACACTTTAAAAGTCAAAAATGTCTTTGCTAGGTGGTTAATTTACGAGAAGCTGAACGGAAACAACAATTACAGAACGAAGAAATTAAGATGAAAGTTCTGGAACGGGATAATATGATTTGTGAATTAGAATCTGCGCTGGAACATCTGAAATTACAGTGTGACCGGAGACTGACTCTCCAGCAAAAGGAACATGAGCAGAAGATGCAGTTGCTATTGCAGCACTGCAAAGGTGACAGCCCTTTATGTCAGTTAGTAAAGTGATAGAGGGAGTGTCAAGGAAGGAAGAGGAACAGAAATTAAAAGCCTGACATGTGTAAATAATTGACAGCTGCACAAGATTTTAGTCTTTGCACAGTTGGGTTACCACGTTTTGGGTGTGTTGATGAGGTGAGGCTTCTTATACTTGAAGACCATCCCTCTGCCCGCCCCCAGCACACACAAGAGAAGTGCTGCAACCTTGTTACTTGGTCGTTGGTCTAGTTTTTATGTGGAAATGTGGGATTATTTCTAAATTTCTGATTACATTGAAAATTATCTCTCAGTAATATAGAGGGAATTAAATTATTTTTCGTCATATTCCTTCTATGTTTCTTGTTACACTTTTCAGTTAATTGTTACTCGTTATGCGTTGTGTACCTTAGGTCAGATAGATTATATCTGACCACTAGAGGGCGCACACTGCGCTCCGTGAGCAGCAGCGCAGCATCCATACTGACCCAGAGAGCCCTCAGCGGTCAGCGCAGGGCCAGAACGTGAGCAGCCGCACAGCCAGGTGATACTGTTCCTGCTGCAGTGCAGGCTTCTGAGTCTAATGCTCCTGAATCCATAGCTGAAAATGGATCAAAAGGGATGTAGAAGAAATAACCTGAGGAAGCAGAAAATTGAGAAATGTATGCAATTTTAGCGGCAAGGCAAGTTGCCCTTAAGTTGCTTCTAACTGCTTGATTAACCGTCAGTTGCCCAGGTACAGGATTCCCGTGGGAGGCTCTAACACATTCAGTCCATTTGAACGTGTTCTCTTTACCATTACCTTAAAGTCTCTAAAAGAGATACTTGAATAAAAATTTTATGTATTATTAAAGCTACTCGGATTAAACATCAAAATCTGGCACCATAGCCAGATGAGAACATTTTAAAAAATCATTTCATTCCTAAAGGTATGCATTGTTTTCAAAGCAAGGAATATTAACAATTTGTGACTTTAAAACTGATTGACTGTGGAACATAAAGTTGTTGTGAGACTGAAACATACTTTATGGGGATTTTTTTTTTCTTTCTCTTTTTGTCAGTGCTGGGGATTGAACCCAGGGCCTCAGCCATGCTAGGTGTCAAGCTACTGAAATATATTACTTGTCCTACTTTTTGGGGACTCTGATTTATGATGCCATTAATTTTAAGTAATTTTCAAAATAAGATGAATTAAACCATATAAATATTCTTAAAATTTTCTGAAACATTCGAGCATAATAAAAAATTACAAACCAGAACCATTTTATAAATATATCAGCAGGGGAGAATAGGTCCAAAAGTATATATTTTCTGAAGGTCAGTCTCCCAGATTTTACTATTCTAGAACAGTGTTTGACATTCGTAAGTATTAAGTCGAGCCACTACATTCTGTTGTGGATAAAGTAGAATTTATGTTGGCCATTTCCTTCTTATTTGTTACCACCTCGGTTTTTTTGTTTGTTTGTTTGTATCTGGAATTGAACCCACAACTGCGTGCTTGCAAGGCATGTGCTTATGACACTGAGCTAAATCCATGGCCCTTCCTTCTTATTTGTGTGGCATTTTCCTTTGTGATTTAACTTTTAGATCAATTTTTAGTCTCTTGCAACTTTTTTTCTAGAGGAGTGGCCGTATATTTCTTGTGTCTGTTAGTCCTAGGCTTGCTGATTTTCTGTATAACCACAATTCCTGATAGGAACTTTCAATAAGGTATTAATAACAGATGTTGGAGGGGTTTTTGTTTGTTTGTTTGTTTGTTTTTAGTTTGGTTCATTGTTTTGTCTTTTTGAGACTGGGTTTCACTATGCAGTTCAGCTGGCCTTGAATTCAACTTTGTAGCCCAGGCTAGTCTTGAACTAGCATCAGTCCTCTTGCCTCAGCCTCCCAAGTGCTGGGATTGCAGACATGTGTTACCATGCCTGGTGAAGGACAGAGTTTTAAATAGTGAACCTTTTATAGGAAACACTACTTATGCTGTTCTAAAGTCTTGTTAGTAGGAACTGCTATTTATGAATCAAAAGCATGTAGTGGTTGATAGGAGTAGGATAGAGAAGATAACTAAGGATACAACCTTTTAAAAAATATTACAGGCAAAAAAAATCCAAATTGTAGCTGAAAACAGATCCATTCAGATAATAGATAGGTGTAACACACATCTGACCCTTGATAGTCAGGGGCTATGTTAAAGCATAATTTTAAAACATTTATTTGAAACAATTTAAATGTAAATTTTTGCTTTATAGAGCAAGATGGAGAAGGCATTGTTGAATCTTGGAGAATATATGAAGATAAAATCCAGCAGTTGGAAAAAGACCTTTACTTCTATAAGAAAACCAGCAGGGACCTTAAGAAGAAACTTAAAGAAGTGGCACAGGAAACAGTTCAGTGGCAGCCAGCAGTGTCAGAACGCAAGGCCTTCACCATCACCCATGACAGTAATACTGTTTCTCCAGGACTGGGTAAGCCCACACCTGATTTGTAGAGTTGTGCTTCCCCAGTGACTGGGTTGCTTAGGATGAGACAGTTAACTTATATTTGTCTCAATAGACAAAAATAGTTGTTTTTTATACATATAAGATTAGAGCACCATGAAAAGTGAATAAATATATTTGTAAAAGAAACAATCATTAAAGTTTTTTGTGTGTTTTTCCAGAGGACAAAGCTTTATTCACCATGGAAAATATTTAGATCAAATTTGAAAAATTAAAGAACAAGGTGGCTGAATATGAAGTATTATTCCAAAAGAATGTTAACTCTAATAAAGGTTGTTTCAGTAATGTCTTGTGTAATATAAGTGCTGGGTTCCTCCTTCCTTCCTGAGTGGGTTCATGCATATCTGCGGTACATTGCTGGTTGGAGTGGAAGCAGTCCCACAGGGCCACTAGTTTCATTTCTAGCACTGATCACAGATTACCACTATAAATCCCTTAACTCACTCTCATTTCTTTTTTAACAATTGAGGAATATAATTGTCTTTCTTTCTTTCTTTTTTCTTTTTTGGTCTTTTTTGTTTTTATCAGTACCAGGGATCGAACTCACGACTGCCTGCTTGCAAGGCAGGTGCTTATGCCACTGAGCTAAATCCCCAGCCCTATTTCTCTTTCTAAAAACATGTAAAATACAAAGTACTATATAGGCAATAAGATATACTATGACGCCCATTATCGTTTGACTATTACCTTTTTTTGAAGTCCTGTAAGGTCTCTAGTGTAGGTTTTATTGGTCTTGTTCTGTACTGTTTTGATCAATTCTATTATACCTGACAATATAGGCAACTTTTTTAAAAAATAGCAAGAGGCACAATGGTAACCATTTTAGATCACCTGATATCCTATTTTTATATCATGTACTATGCCCATCCTTTTGTTCTAACCGACTCTTGTTTTGTTTAGCCACGTTGGTTTTATTCTCTCCAAAAAATAATAAGAATTGTAGGAGTAAAAAAACCCAAAAAGTGTTAATTGTTATTAAAAAGAGAGGAAAGGAAGATGGTCTAAGGGCTATAACTGCATGTATGTTTGACTGTGTAGGATGGAAATCCGTATTACTGAACTTTTGTTGGATCATTGATCAGCATTGTGTGCAGTCTCATTGTATGAATGTTCACTTTAACATGCTTTAATTTTATAATTTGGACAACTATTTCAAAGATGACAATATGTAACCTATTAACTAGTGATATCTTACTGTATTTTTTTTCCTTGAAATTCTGTATTATTTGTACCCTTTTACTGCTTTGGGGTTTTTTTTTTTAATTTTATTTCCTTCCTTTTTTCCTCTTTAAATAATAATAATTTTTAAAAAGTACTATATAAACAAAATTATAAGCTCCCTAAAATTGTAGGAAATGATCATCTATTGTTCTATATGTGCCAGTCAGTGGCTTTCATAGTCCTTAATTCACTTAATTTTTAAAATAATTTAAATTTGTTGTTGTTTTCCTGCTTTATAGTATTAAGCTATCTGATTGTCATTAAAGAGATGTGCAATAGAAGTATTTGATAAAAGTGTATATATTTCTAAGATAAATCAGATCTTATGATCTGTGGAAATTAATAAAAATCCATTGTTGAGACAAAGACTTTCCTTGCATAATTATATGTAGATACATGGAATTGGTACCTTTGTAAATGAAATGATCAAATATGACAAAATACTCTACAAAAGTAAAAAAGTGTCATGAAAGTAATACGTTGCTACAATTAAAAATTACCCCTTTAAAGCAAACTAGAGAGGAATAAATATTTTTAAAATAAGTCTACATTTTATCAAAGAATTAGCCTTCCTTTGGAAACTATTCTTCTAATAACTTATCAATTGTGAAAAGTTGACCTAATATGTACCTTTCAAAATAAAACTACTTAAAGATGAACACACAAGATATAAAGAGGTCAATAAAAAAGCTTTATTCACTTGCAGTGCTAATCCCCGCTACTAGGAAACTTAGGCAGGAGAACTGCAATTCAAGGCCAGCCTGGCAACTTAACCAACTCTGGCTCAAAATTTTAAAAAGCTACAAAAATGCCATGGGTAGGGGCTGGGGATTTAGCTCAGCGGCATAAGCACCTGCCTTGCAAGTGTGTGGTCGTGAGTTCGATCCCTAGTACCGATTTAAAAAAAAAATTCTGAGGTGTAGCTCATTGGCAAAGCACTTGCCTAGATGTGCAAGGATCTGGGTTCCATTGCCAGTGCTAAAAAAATATATTTATGTGCAATGAAAAGATGTATACTGAATGTATAACATAGTTAACATAGTTTTAAATTTTAAAACTCAGTAGTATTTTATAAAAGTAGTTCTAATGCTACCTTATGTTTATAGTTATCATATATAGACAGTTTCACAAATAGTTACATTTAACCTTCACACTCAGGGGAGGCCACTATCTGCTGAGCCCATTGTTTGCATGAAGGCATTGAAGCTTAGACCAAGTGACAGTGGACAGACTGTGATTAAAATATGATTGAAGGTCTCTCATTTTCTGACGCTGGTCCAGTGTTCTAGGATAAAACTTGTTTTAGATAGACATGTGTCTTAGTTATTTTTTTACTCGTTGCTGAGGCAAAATATCTGATGCCCAAAGTTGGGAAAGGAAAGGTTTATTTTTCATAGGTTTTGGAGGTTTTAGTCTATATTTAGTTGGCTCCAAGGCAGGGTGGCATGGTGGGGCCACAGTTCATGGTGGCTGCAAACAGAAAGGCAAAAACCCGTAAGAGAGAGAGACACACACCTTTTTTCTGCCATTACACCACATCCTGGCTCCATCCCTAGGCTGGTATAGCATTCACACCCCCAGTCTAAGTGCTAGACAATAAACCAATCACAAATGCCTAATGCAAAGGCATGAGGCTTGGGGGCCACCGACATAAACCATAACATTCCACCCCTGGCCCCCAAAGACTCATGCACATCCTTTATACAAAAGTAATTTAGTCCATCTTTAAGAGTTGTCCTAACACCTTCAGCATTGTTGAGAAGTTTAAGTCTCAAGTCTCCTCTGATATCTATGGCAAACTCTTAACTGTAAGCCCCTATACAAGTGAAACAAGGTTAAACATTTCTGAAATGTAAAGGCACAAGATAAACATTACTATTTTAAAAATAATAAACAGGGGAATATAAAGCATTGGAAACAAAGCAAGTTCAACATCCAGCAGGGCGAACATTAAGTCCTAGAGTTTTATGCTCAGCATTTGAAGCAATCTGATTTTAAGCAAAGCACTTTTAGGGATTTTAGCTCCTGCAGTTTTTTTAAAAAATCCTCTCTGCTCGCTTTTTGCAGTTTTTCTTGGATGATCCACATTTTTGGCTTTTTTAAACTTTTGGGGTTTCTATTGTACCTTTGGCTTCATCTTTATATCTTTACAAATTGCCCTCTCAGGGGCACACTGCTTGGCCTCCCAGGCCCTTTGCAATCGAGGTAGAAGCCGTTTTACTCTCAGAATTTGTACATTTTTTTGGTAAAATCAGCACCATGTGGATACTGCCAAAGTTTGTTGCTAGCTAGAGCAGTAGCCAGGCTTTGTTTCTTGGCTATAAGGGTATAGTGCCTGGATCGATGGGCTCTGTTTACCTGTGAAGAAAAGCTTTTCTATGTTGCTGCCAGTTTGGACCCTCAGGTGGCTGCCGCCTGAAACCTCGTGGTTGCCACCATTCTGGAGCATGGTGCTCTGCAGCTTTTTCCTCTGAGCAAATTTTTTCACTTTTGCAGTTTTGAGGTTGCAAAAGGAGGAAACCCACTGCTTTCTGGGATGCCCCATGGTCATCTTTTTTATCTCTTTTTTTTTTCTCAGCAGTCAAAGTTTTAGTTCTATCTTTACAATCTACAGCTTTTTTGGAGTTTTCTTTCTGGCCAAACTCACAGCATTTTAAATTATCCTCTGGGCTCTTTGCTCTTGATTTGTAACATATATCTGGCTAAAAGCCCCCAACAATAGCCATGCCACAGCCTCAACATTTAACTGCCTTGAAATTTTCTTTGCCAGATGAATCAGTCCATTTCCCCTAATCTCAGTCTCAGGCAAAGTCTCTGGGCATGAGCAAAATGCAGACAAACTTTCTGCCATGCCATAACACACATCTTGAGGAGACAACAACCAATGCAGTCTTTCTTCTCAGTAGAAACCTCCCAAGCCTGGTCTTTACCATCAGGCTTTTTATTTGCCTTTGGTCTCCGGACCTCTGACCAGAATCTCCTCTACAGAACAGTGTAAGCTGCTCCAGCTCTATGCATCCAGGTGATATGTCTGAACCTTTCCAAACTCTGCCCACAAGCCATTTCTAAAGCCTCTCAAAAAATATGGTCAGGTATAGTCACAGCAACTACCCCACTCTTGGTACTAAATTTTGTCTTACTTTTTATTTGCCACTGAGACAAAATATTTGATGCCCAAAGTTGGGAAAGGAAAGGTTTATGTTTTACAGTTTTTGGAGGTTTTAGTCTATACTCAGTTGGCTCCAAGGCATGGTGGCATGGTGGGGCCATAGTTCATGGTGGCTGCAAACAGAAACTGGCGAGAAAGAGAGAGAGAGAGAGAGAGAGAGAGAGACACACACACACACACACACACACACACACACACACACACCTTCTTCCTGCCATTACATCACATCCTATCTCCATCCCTAGGCCAATATAGCACTCACACCCCCAATCTAAGCACTAGACAGTGAACCAATCACAAATGCATAATGCAAAATCATGAGGCTTGGGGGCCACTGACATAAACCATGACAAGATGTGATGCAAATGTTCAGACACTGCTAAGAAGACTGAACATTCTGATTCTCAATGGAGGAGTACAGAGGTTGCCACTAACATAACTCATTTCCTTTCCTTAAAATACTTCCCACAATACATAATTGAAACTTTTCTTGAAACTGTATTTGCAAAAAGTAAAAAGCTGTGGAGCATAGTGGTTCATGCCTGTAATCCTGCACTTTGGGAGGCTGAGGCAGGGAGACCACCATGAGTTAGAGGCCAGCTGAGGTTACATAGTGAATTCAAGGCCAGCCTGGACCCTGTCTCAAAGAACAAACAAAAAAAGCCCCTAAACTTTGAAAAGTAAACAAATATTAAGTAAAAAACAATAACCAGTATATGATCATCCTAACACTTTTTATTTTTCATTTTTATTGTTATTTTTATTTTTGGTATTGGAGATCAAACTCACAACCTTGCACTTACCAAGCCAGCACTTGAAATGCTGAGCTAAATCCCCAGTCCTCTAATACTTTTTAAAAACCCACTTTCAGGCTGCAGGTTGTAGTTCAGTGGTAGAATATGTTTATCATGTGTAAAACCCTGGGTTCAATCCCAGCCAAAAAACAAACAAGAAAAGACTCATTCATTTTCAAATTTAAGGTACCTGAAATTAGACAGCAAGACTGTAAATGGCCCATGTATATATGACTGAGTCTACTGGACAGTTCTTTTAGAATGACAGTGTGGTGTGATAGCACAAAAACTTGAGAAACCTGTGTCCTCATCTCACTCTTCAAGAAAACAGATGGGAAGGCAAGCTGGGGGTGGGGTGATATGAGGGTAACACCCATCTGACCAATGTGTCTGAGAAGTGTCCTTCTGGTTATACTGCTGAAGATTTCATTTCAGCTAATTTGTTATTCTACCTAGAAACACTTTATGCTTTTGGATTTAAAATATTTTTTTTTATATTTTAATACAGTATTACAGAAATTTTTGAAAATACAGGAAAAAATCAAATCACCCATAAACATATTGTTAGCATAATTCTTTTATAGCCTTATGTTTTAAAAATTATACTTGCAGCCATACTGGGAATATATCTTATTTTATATCCTATCTTAAAATGGCCAGGCATGATGGTGTGCATGCCTGTAATCCTAGCATTAGAAGGCTGAGGCGGGAGGATCACTTGGAGTTTGAGAACAGGCTGAATACTGTGACCCTATCTCAAATAAGTAATAAATAGATGGATGGATGAATGGATGGATGGATAGATAGATGGATGGATAAGCAAACAAGCAAGCTACATCAATATAATGACATTAAGTAAAGGTTATTTGAATTCTAAAATAACTTAAATATATTGAATTCTGAGATTCACTAAATGTGTTCACACTAAAATGTGTCCTAGTTAAGTATGAAACTGTCTGGCTATTCAGTTCTTAGGGATTTTATCACTGCATGTATTACTTTTAAGATGTGGTCTTGCTATGTTGTTCAAGCTGGCCAGCTTATGGGCTCAAGTGATCTTTGGGACCACAGGCACACACCAGTATTCTCAGATTTTAGTTCATTGAGTTTTGTTTTATTTTTCAGATTTTCTTGAGACAGGGTCTCTTGATACAGTTCAGGCTGGTCTTAAACTTGTGGAGTCTTCCTGCCTCAACCTCCTGAGGGCCAGGATTACAGGAATGTACTACCATGCTCAGCAGTTCATTGGATTTTGATAATAGTCTTCTTGTTGTCTGCCTATAAGACTTGTATCTTTGTTCTCTATTTTTGGCATTTTAAAAGAGCAGAAAAAGTAATCTTTTAATTACAATATTTTGATCCTTTGGTGGTCATATCTGTTACAGGGTATCTGTTTTCTAAACTGTTTTGTAAGGATAAAATCAGTTTATACAGACATGAAGTTTCTGTACTTAACTGTTTAAAATGACTAGTATCACTTTAAATCATTACTTCAAACTATAAGTTACTAGAGTCAGATCTAGTTTTCTGGATTGCAATCCTAGGATTTTTTGGGGGGGGGGGCACTGACGGTGATCAGATGTGCTAGGCAAGTGCTACACTGAGCTACACCCCCAGCCATGAAATCTTTTGCAGGTGTGTGACCTCAGACAAATTAATCTTGTCCTAGTTTGCCACCTAAAGTGTAAAATTGTAGAAGAAGGAACCATATTATAAATTATGAAGGCTGCAGGTGGGCTTGGGGTATGTCCCAGCAGTGTGCCCAGCTGTGCTCATCCCATAGGACCTTAAAAATAAGATGCCTGCTTCTGGAACCAGACACCGTGACCTATGGGCAGAAGATTCTTAAAACTTCCTGGTGAGGTTTGGGGCCACTGCCTGTGGGCAGCTTTGAATCTGTTGTAGTTCCATGTTAGGGTCTATGGCATTTGTGAGTTTAGGTGCTTTGTTTTTAAAGAATTTGTAGAGCATCAGCTATGTCTTAAAGTCAAAGCAGGCAATAGGGCTTGCAGAGTTATCTGCATGGATGGTGGCAACTCTGCTCCAGCTGCTGTTGCTATGCAGAAACTATTTTTACTATTTTTCTATAAAAGCTAGAAATCTGTATTTTTATGTGAAACTTTTTTAATTTTGGGTCATGTGGTATTAACATTGGAAGACAACGAAAACATGTCTGTGAGCCAGACTTCACTAGTCACCTGTGTACAACCTGTTTTTAGACCTTGTCTTCATAGGATTAAGAGTATAATAAGCATGTATCAATGTATATTAAAGGGACTAGTGATTTAGCTCAGCGGCATAAGTGCCTGTTTTGCAAGCATGTAGTTGTGAGTTTGATCCTCGGTACCAAAAAAAAAAAAAAAAAAAAAATACACACACACATACTTGGCAGGCATTCATTGATTTACAACTAGTATCTACGTGGATCTCCATTAAATTGGGTTTTACCTTTGATATCAGATATGAATTAAGGGCATCCAAGCTTTGATGTCTTTACTCTCACTCATTCCAGTGGGATTTCTCTCACTGAGGAGTATGATTCAACTGTTTTAATGGCAGAAGTGATGGCACACATCTCAGAGTGTATTTGATAGCAGAAACCCAGTCATCATGGGAGACCAAGCAAGGCTAGATTTTCATACATAACATGCCAAGTACCTGAAGTATACTTGGAAATAACAGAGCAGAGCCAGTGTTCTCTAGAGCTAGCTTCAGTTGGCCAGTATTTGGAGTTCACTAGCAATAAACCAAGCAGACCTAGAAAGGTACCAGACACACCCAGAGTGCGCCTGGGATTCTAGAAAATGCCAAACAAAATTCCTAGTACCAAAATCTCAATTTTGTTCCATGAATTAAAATTCAGTTATATAAGACACCTATGAGTGAAATAATTCATATTGTTTAACAAGATATCTAGAAAATATCATGTATATTGAGTGATAGTAATGTCTTTACATTAGAATTATAATTAAAATATGTGACTTTTGAGAAAATAATCTCTAAATTATTAGTTTTGGGATTATTTTCAGATCATGGTGCTGTAGATGGAGTCCTGAACCCAGAAGAGGCATGTGTGCTTTCAGAAGAATTAAAGTGGGCATCCAGAACTGAAAGTATGAAATTAAATGGACAAGAAAGAGAAGTAGACACTTCTTCAAGCAACTTAAGAACACAGACAAATGCTCAAAAGTGTTGGGACGATGTCTCCGAGTTACCTCCGGTTTGCAGCTCTTTACCACCCACCAGCGGACAGTTGTTAAACAGTGCTGATAAAACAGAAACAAATGATGACCAGCTTTTCAGGCCTCACAGTCGACCGTCATACCCAGTTCAGCCAGTAGGAGACAGGGGGCAGCTCCACAGTGTCACACCCATCAAGCTGTGCCGCAGGGAATTGCGCCAGATCTCTGCCTCAGAACTGTTGCTGCGACGTTCTGGTCTTGGAGTTGGGGTTGGGTCAGTGATTACTGAGTCCATTCAAGCATCTAGGAAACCTAGTGACCTGAAAACATAGATGAACAGTAGAACTTTCAGTTTGGTAGCTAGCGTTAAGATTCCATTTTCTAACTTATTAAAAAAATTAAAGCTCAAGTTCGTTAGTTCTTCCATCAGAATAGAGGAAGAAGGGAATGAATGATCTTTTATATCCTTTTAAGAGGTATAAATCTTCAGTAGTATATTTTGTGAGTTTTAGCTTGTGTTTCCATAATAATCAAACACATGTTTTCCAGTACTTGTAAATATTTTCACTTATAAATATGTGTAACATTTTTTCAGGCATTTTTTTTTTTAGTCATATTTGAAAAAAACTAATAGACTAAAATAGCCTTCAAATGTATATTACTGTATAATATAAAAGTATGTTATAAGAATGTTATGTTGTTATTCTAAAATACTAGTATATTGCTTTTTTAAATATTTCTTATTTTCTAAATATTTAGAAATATTTTAAATATTTAGAATAAAAGGAATATTTTAAATATTTCTTTTTTTTTTCCTAAATATTTCTTAGGTTAGAGGGAGAATCACATGTGGCATGTTTCAGCACAGCTGAAATTTTGTATGACATAAAGAAAGGTGTAGGACAAGATACCCTGCCAAGTTTATGTCTAAGGCTGATTTGCAGTTCTAGGTCCAAAGGAGTTGGGTGGTCAATCTTGACTCTGTTCTCTGATGTTTTCTAGAATTAAAATTTATAATGTTATGTTATTGGTTTGCTCATATAGTAAAATGGAAGTTTTCATCTTTACTCTGCCCTTACCTTCAACATGTCTCATTATGATACCAAAATTGGGAGACATGTACAGTTCCATGGAACAGGGAAACAGTGATAGAATAATAGTAAAGCAGTATTCCCAGCATTCCCAGGAAAAGTACACTGGTTGTGACCACCTGGATACTTTGAAGATTCAGTAAAGCTTGAAATGTAGCTGGAGGATCATTAGCTAAGAACCTGATGGGTGTCAGTTTGAGATTTTCTTTTATAATCTGCTTCCTTAGGTTTTTCACACAGGCAGGAAAAACTACCCTGGAACTGCAAACATGTTAATGAAATTTTCCTAAAACTTCTTTTGGCCAAGATCTTAGTATGTATTGTCCAGAATTAAGAACTGAACAATTTTTCCATAAGTTCTTTTTCACTATATTTTTCTATCAATATTTCATTATAACAATCTGATGAATTACTTTGTTACTTTTCATTTTCCAAATTCTTTAAATGAGAGTTGAGTTTCTCAGACTAATTGAGTGGGAGCAGCAACAAATCCACCTTGACTTCTTAGGGATGCTGTCCGATGAGAGGCCCTTGCTTCCGACCGAATCCACATGTTCTCATCTGATGCTGCTGTGGACTTTCCTTTGCACTTTCCTCTGCTGTTGTTGACCTGACCATCTCTCCCAAGACCCAAACTGCCACCCTGGGCTCTATACACTTTTAAGGGCTCTTCCTTTTCCTAGCTGCCAGCCCCTAGAGACTGCTGCTCTTTGTCCTACTGCTAAAAACCAGTACTTACAGGAAAAGAGAACAAAATGGTAAAACAGTTTATCTCTTAAATATGATACTAAAAATTTTAAATTTATTTAAAATTACAGTTTAAGTAGAAATCTGTGGAATAAACCTGGGAACTGGGAACTGAACAGTTTATTGGCCTAATGAGAAATTGCCTTTGGTTTGGATGACAGAAATATATATATATATATATATATATATATGTCTTATGGCAAAAGCCCAGTGCCTTCAACAAAACAGCAATTATCTATTTATTAGTAAATGCATATTGATGATAATCCTGTCTTGGTTACATTTCTTGAGGCTGAAACAGAATACCCAACACCCAAAGTAAAAGGAGGAAAGGCTTGTTTTTGCTCATAGTTTGTAGAGGTTTCAGTTCATAGTTGGCTGGCTCCAGGGCAGGGTGGAATAGCAAAGGAGCATCACAAAGGAGAAACAGTCCATGGTGAGCAGAATGCAGGAGAGCACCTGAGCAGCCTGCCTCTCCCCGTATCCAATCCAGGCTTACTTGCTATTTGAGTAGTGTCATCCACACCCAGGTGGGCCTTCCCATTATCCACACCCACCTGTGCTACACCAATTAGTGGACTCCTTTAGTAATCACACTTCCTTAATCATAGCATCACACACTCTAGATCCAGCCACCTCTGATCTCCCTTTGACCAAATGAGGCTTTGGGGGGACATCTAGACACAAACCATAACACAGCCCAATTACAAATTCCTTGTAAGATTAAGTAATATGCTATTCCTTAATTATAAATAATTTATATAAGAATGCATTCTAATACTGGATCCTGCTTTCCCAAGACATAAATAAGTATGTATATATATATATATATTTGTTTTATCAGTGGAAATATAAATACATTTTCTGACTAACAAAGCAAGAAAACATATCAAATTAACAGTGACTTGATAATGCAAATGTGTATTGACTGCTAAGTAGCAAAGTTACGATTTTCCCCCCTGCTTTTGGTTAAATATTATTTATTTTTTATGTGCTATGATAAATTTCATGGATATATATATTCAAACACACATAAATAATATTTCCTGGCCAGGTACAGAGGCACTCACTCAGGAGGTTGGGCAAGAGAATCACAACTTTGAGGCCAGTCTGGGCAACTTAGCAAGACTGTCTGACAAACAAAAGGGCATAGGATGTAGTTCAGTGGTAGAGAGCCCTTGGGTTTGGTCCCCAGTATTGCAACAATAACAAAAATATCCTGAAAAATATATTCTAGAACTTCTGACCATTTTAGCTTAGTCAGTACTCTAGGAAACAAAAACTAATCTGCTTCCTGTGGGCAAATAAAATTATGTTTTAAAATGTATTAACAGTTTTTACAGCTTTTTTTACTGTAAACATTTTGTCATTGTGTTTGCCTTTTTGCATGCCTACAAAATGTGGTTTTCCTTTTTTTTTGTTCATTATATTCTTTTTATTTTCTACTAGTAACAGCATTTGAAAGGAAAACCTGTGGCTCTGTAAAATAGTATTTTCTCTCCTAATTCCCACATGTTATAGGTAACAGAGTTGGGAGAATTTGTAGGTATGGATGATAAAAACATTGAAGTGTTTTTTACTTTTTTTAATATTTCTGTTTTTTTCTTCTTTTTTTCCTTTCTTTTTCAGTGCTGGGGATTAAACCTAGGGTCTCAGATTGTTAAGGAAAATTATGTGTGCTTGTTTGCAAACAGATTCCTTACATGAAAGATATAAAGTCTTCCGTTAAGTTTCAGGATGAATCATAAAGGACTCAAATATTTGGCAAGTTTTCAGTTCTTTGTTGAACATATATACTCAGATAGTAAAAACAAGCATGCCTTTGATCTTTCAATTATTTCCTTAGATACATTGTTTTTAATTCTCCACCAACACTGCACCCCACCATGGGTAACTGCTTGTATTCCTTATTCTTGGAATGTCCTGCATACCAGGTACTGGAATGGCGTGATTGTCATGGTGGTCTTCATGTTTAACTCAACATGGTGGTAATAAGAACAAGAGAATTATACAAAGAAGCACCAGAAAACCCTGATGTTTCAAAGTTGTTTTTGATGTTTTGTATTATTCTCATTTGTCTATTTTTATATTTTTTTATTCTAGGGAAGTTCAATAGGGTCAACCAAAGTACTAATATTCCCAATGGTAGCAGTGTAATTTGAACCCAAAAATACTGAATTAGACTTTGCTTTTCTGTTCTGTTGGCTAATTATAGGGACTTTTTTGTTTCCTTTTTGAAACAAGGTTTTGCTGTACAGTTTAGGCTAGCTTTAACTCCATTTGTAACCCTAGCTGGCCTTGACTCACAGCAATTCCCTTGCATCAGTCTCCCGAGTACACCACCACAATACAGGTGTACATCACCATGCCTGGCCTCTATTGGCTAACTATAATACACAATTCCATTGAATTATCTCTGATAGTACTTTAAGAGAAAAATAGAACATTTTCCTAGATTTTGCTTTACTGAGCAGCATCCCTATAACCTCAAAAAACAAACCCATTTACAAGAGACAGGAGTAGAAAACTAAATCTTTTTAAAACTTAATGATTCTTAAAACATTTAATACTGGTATAATTAATGTTTAAAAAGGAAATTATTATTATTATTTTTTTGTCTTTTTCATTTTTATCAGTATCAGGGATCGAACTCACGACCGTCTGCTTGCAAGGCAGGTGCTTATGCCACTGAGCTAAACCCCCTGCCCCAAAAAAAGGAAATTATTTTAAAAGATCCTATTATTACACTATACATAAAGTATATAACAAAGTATTTGAAGTCCAGAGAAGTAAGTATTGATATGTCTTTTTTTTAATTCTTATTTTTCTTTTCTTTTTCTGGTGCTAAAGATTGAACCCAGGGCCTTGTCATTAAGGCAAGCACTCTACCACTAAGATGAGCCCTCCACTTTAGCAGTCTTATTTTTAAACAAATCACGTTTTCAACCATTACCAACAAATTATAGGTGTGTGCCTACAAGCTTTCATTCTCCATGATGATCAGGATTCATGTAGACAACTAGGGCCACAGGGAGAGAAGTTTATCTGAAAGCATTGTATAGCCCAACAAATAATTTTTGAAACTATTTGGAGAAATACATTTTATTTCTTTGGCCAAAGTATTATAGACAGCTAACTTAGGTAAAAATATTATAGGCTGGGCCCTCAAGGGAGTCAGTACAGAAGACAAGCACACATTACAATTGTGGCAAGAAGTGCATCTGTTGGATGCCAGGCCTACACACCACCCCAGGGGATAATTGATATCACCTGGCCCAATCGAGTCCAGACAGACATTAGTCACTCAAGTGGGTGATCAGGACCCTCTGACCCATCTCTTCCTAAAAAGGTCTTTGCTCTTTCTATGTACACTTGCTATATGATTGACTTTCCTATTTAAATATTACCTAATGGGCTATAATCATAATCTTACTGGCTGATCACAGTTTTGACCCACATTGTACCCACCTGATGACTTTGCTCTATAAAATTCCTTTGAAATATGGGCTCATTGGCAGCCCATTTCCAGATCTCCTCCTGCCTCTTAGGAGCTATCTGTCTCTATAAATTTTTCCTACTATTAACCTCCATTGTTCCTTAGAATTCATTCTTTGGTTTTGGGGAACATGAACTTGGCATAGCTGACATCTAGCAGGTTGAGATTTACATTTATTTTCCTATTTCAAAAGGACAGAAACCTAATCTCAACCTTTGGCACTCATTAAATCCTAAACAAACTCTTAGTGCTGGATTTGCCATTTGGAAGTATACATCCAAGTTTATATACCCATTCCTTTTCCTATGATTATTATTTGAGATTATATGAAAAGCTGTTCTAGCAGAATTTAAATGGCAATTATGAACTCATTCAATAAAGAATTACAAGAAACAGTAGTTTTGGAAAAAAATCCAATGGCCTGACAAACCAGCTAAACTTAAGTAATTTTACCAATGAAGAACAATGACATGGTATATGGAAAAAATTCTGATTATAAAAAAAAATATCAGGATTCGTCTTTATAAAACAATACAGTACTAACGACCACTTTGCTTCGTGTTTCACTCTGCTAAAATCATGCTAATTTTTCTCCTGAAAAACCTGTAGGTAAAAGATTTCCATTCACGATGACAAATCAGCAGCTATAGGTCTGCATAGGCTGAATTAATACTAATTTTTGTGTGTGAACTGCAAGTGGTATTTCACTATTCTACCGCAGAGGAATGAGGAGTTAGCTTAATTTGACTGATGCATAATTGTGGCAATTTGTAAGAATTGATTCTGTCAAGGTTTTGTTTTCTAGCATGATTACATTCTGTAGATGGAAAAATGAAAATGGCAAAGGGTTTTGTAGTGAAGGCCTACCTCTTAGGAACTCCCATTCCAGGCACATCTGCACTGCCCTGTCTCACCCAGGGCCGCCAGTCCCCAGCTAACTCCATGCCAGGATTCAAAGAGGTCCTAATCTCAGTTGTCAAGTATTTTAGATAATGTATATTAGAAATTAGTATACTAATATTAATTAACAGTATATGGCATTTTCTAAACCATCTGGTAGCATTTTCTTTACAAGAAAACTATTTATGAATTGCTACTTTGCACTTAAAGCATAATATTTTTCAAATCCAACTTAATTTAATAAACTGAGGGGGAAACTACTAGTATAAATTATCAGATAGCAGTCTGTTCATTTATCATTGAGGACATAAAAACACGTAACTTGGGGCTGGGGATTTAGCTCAGGGGCATAACGTCTGCCTTGCAAACAGGCAGTTGTGAGTTCGATCCCTGGTACTGATAAAAAGGAAAAAGACAAAACAACAACAACAACAAAAACATGTAACTGAAGCATCGTATATAAAATAAATAGGTTTTTCATAGAATTGGCTCTCAAAAAGTAACTTGGCATGTATGGCTGCTATTTTATGTGTACTATAAAACATTTTCTGAGACAGAGACGGAGACTCTAAGAAACCAAGATACATTTTTTTCTAAACAAATTGATTCTCAGCGCTTTAGTCATACATTACCAGCAAATGATGGTATTCTCTGGGAAGTTTTATGTACATTCTGCTCTTGAAAACATTTTTAAAACTTGCTTAATCTACTTAAAGGCACAAATTTGCTTTCTGACTGAAAGAATATGTTAATATGTTTTTACTGAGTTTTTGACCACCAGCTCTTCACTATTTATTACTTAGTTACATTTGAAAATTACTGAATTGTAGCTAGAAAATGAATTTTTAAAAATAGCATTGTTTCCATCTGATAACCATAAAGATACCTAAAACTCTACCACTACCACTCCCCCTCCCTAGGAAGAACATGGTAGAACAAGTTCACCGTTGGCATATATGCTGAAGTATGATCGGGTTAACAGCAAAGTCAGTTTTCATCCAGCTTTGGTACTCTCAGCTACTGTATGCAAGAAGTGTATTAGAATTACAATTGACATTACCATGGTCAGAAGACAGCTCACTCCCCTTAATTTGCAAATATCTGCCAATATCAAGAAATACTGTATTTTGAGCTGGGAGTAGATGGCGCATGTCTCTCAGTCCCAACACTCTGGCTGAGACAGGAGGATCACAAGTTCAAGCCCAGTCTGAGCAACTTAGTGACACAGGAGAGCCTATCTTGAGTCGAAAAATAAAAGGCTCAGGTTGTAGCTCAGTGTGAAGGTTCTGGGTTCAAGCCCTAGTACCATAAAAAAGTCTGTCCATATAGGTCAAAGCATCATAACCTGAGCAGCCAAGTGAGGGAAGAAAAGGCCAGGATTCCAGGGTAATAGAACCTACAATTAGGAGTATTCTACTGGATTGTGAACAAATCAGTCAGGAAGAATGCTTATACTTTCTATAAAAGAGTTAACGTGGAGCAAGAGTTCTCTTAACAAAGTTCAGTACAACACTGAGTATCCCAAATGGACACAGAGGCATATGCCTGAAGCCCCAGCTACTTAAGAGGCTGAGGTGGGAGGATCAGTTGAGCACAGGAGTTTGAGATTGGCCTGAGCAACATAGATCCTTTCTCAAAGAAAGAGAGAAAAAAAAAAATGAGAGGGAGAAAAAAAAGGAAAATAGAAACTAGAAGCTGAGGTGGTAGTTAGTTACTTATTTTCTGAGGAAAAAAATCACAAAAAGCACCTATAGCCAGAAATTTTCTATAGATTGTTATTGTAATTTTCCTGTGTTCTATAGCCAGAAATTTTCTAGATTGTTATAGGAATTTTCCTGTTCTGTGTTTTCTATAGCCCTTTTATTTGTTTGTGAATAGAGCTGAGAACTAACAACCCAACCCTTCAAGGAACTTACATTCTACTAATACATGCTATGGTGAATTTAGAGCAATACTGTATAAGGGAATAGAGTATTAATGGTACTTTTTAGATGGAAATATGTTTCTGGGGTTATACAAACACAAAGCCATAAAAATAGGTACAAAATCTGGGCTGGGGATTTAGCTCGGTGGCATGAGTGCCTGCCGAGCAAGTGCAAGATCCTTAGTTCAATCCCTGGTACTGCAAAAAAAAAAAAAAAAAAAAAATAGGTACAAAATCACTAATGAAAAAAATTGCGTTTCCTTTGACCTACTGTGTGTCTGCTCAAAGGGGGCAAGTATCAGAAATTTCATCCAAATATGAATCACATCAACCAACTTGAGGGGAAGGCAGTGATAAATTGTGCTGTGCCATTGTGTCCCTTTGCAAACTCTACCTCTTTAATCTACATTATTGCTTAGGATTTATTCCAAGTTTTGGCTATTTCACTTAAAAACTTAAAAAACAACCTATATAAAATTTACCATTTTAAGCTGTACAATTTAGTTTTTATAATATTTGTTATGTGGTGCAATGCTAATTTCACAAAATCTTCATTTCTCAGAAAGGCTCTTTCCCTAGTAGTAGTCAGTCCCAATTTCCCCTCCTGCGTTCCTTACAATTTCCCCTATTCCATTCCAAACCTACTGTCTGTCTCTATTTCATATAAATGATAGCATACATTATGTAACATTTGTGTCTGGCCTATTCACTCAGCAAAATTTTTCAAAGTTCATCTTTATAGCATGTAACAGTATTTTATTCCTATAAATGAATAATATTTCATTGTGTGAATATGCCACTTTGACAGTTGATGGAATTTAGATTATTTCCACTTTTTGAGTATTATGAATAACAAAAATGTATAAGGCTGTGTAAATTTATGTACATGTTTTCATATGAACATGTTTTTAGTTCTCTTAGTCATGTATCTAGAAACAGAAATGCTGAGTTATATAGTAATTCTATGTAACTTTTGGAGGTATTACCAAACATTACCAGAGCAATTGCACTAATTTCATTCCCAAGAGCAGTGTATCAAGGTTAAAGCTTTTCCACATCCTTGGAACACTTACTATTTTCTGTCTTTTTAAATTATAGTTGGCCAGGCATGGTGGCTCATGCCTGTAATCCCAGCACTTAGGAGGCTGAGGCAGGAGGATTGTTGTGAGTTCAAGACCAGCCTGGGATACAAACTGAGCTCATGGCCAGCCTGTACTGCATAGCCTGCAGCCTGCAGAGAGGCTCTGAATCAAAAAAAAAAAAAAATTATAGCTATCCTAGAACATCTCATGGTAGTTTTAAGTTGTATTTTTATAGTAATTAATGATACTAGCTCTTATGTTTATTGGCTGTTTCCATATTTTTTGAAAAATGTCTTTTCAAATCCTTTGGCCCCAATTGCTCCTACTGCTTGTGTGTATGTATGTGAGTTTGTCTTTACAGGGAATCCATAGCTTTGGGCATGTAGGCAAGCCTTTACTTTTTAAAATTTTTCTATTGCAACAGTCTATACATTGCCCAGGTTGGCCTCAAACTTGCAATTCTCTTGTCTCAGCTTCCTGAGTAGTTGGGATTACAGGTTTGTAACACTAGGCCCAACCCTTTGCCTATTTTAAATTAATTATCTTTTCATTATTCAGTTATAAAAGCTCTTTGTATATTCTAAATACAAGTCTGCTGTCAAGATGAATAACTGGTAAATATTTTCTCCTTTTTCTGGGTTTTACTTTCTGATGGTATTCTTTGCATTGTGAAAGTTTTTATTTTTGATTCAGTCCAATTAACTATTTCTCCTTGGTTGCTTGTGCTTTAGTTTTCTACCTAAGAAATCACTGTCTAATCCAGGATCATGCTGATGTATACCAATGTTTGTTGGTCCATTTTATAAAATTAATTTTATTGGTATACTTTTAAAACATAATAATCACAATCATCACAGGGAATTTGTACCTGTACATTATATATCTCAATTTTTTTCTCATTCCCCTCCCTTCCCTTCAATCCTTCTGCCCTTCTAAAACTTTGTTTTTATTGTTTTCCTTCCATTCTTTTTTATCCCTAGTCCCTTCTTTCCTTTGGCCTCTACCTTATTCCTCTTCATGTGTGAACATTTTTTTCTACTTTTGAACATCTATCATTCATTTTGGTCCTTATTTTTATTTAAATGTATGTGAAATTTACTTAGGATTATGTTCTCAAGGTACATCCATTTATCTAAAAATGTCTCATTTATATTTAAGAGAGTATAGTAGTCCATTATATATAAAAATACATTTTCTTTATCCATTCATCTGCTGATGGGCATCTAGACTATTTGTAAGATTTAGCTATTACAAATTATGCTGCTATAAGCATGCGTGTGTATATATTGCTATCATTTGATGCTTTGAACTCTTTCAGAAAGATATGTACAAGGGGAACAGCTAGGACAAATGTAACCTCCAGTCTTAATTTTTTGAGGAATCTTCACATTGGTTATAACAATTCACACTCCCACCAACAGTAGAGAAGGGTTCCTTTTTCCTCACAGCCTTAGCAGGATTTGTTATTGCTTGATTTCTTGATGACAGCCATTCTTTCTGGAGTGAGATGGAATCTAGGTGTTCTTTTAATTTGCATTTCTTGAATGACCACTGATATTGAACATTTTCTTATATATTTATTTGTTGTTTATACTTCTTCTGAGAAGTGTCTACTCATTTCAGATGCCCATTTTTGGGTTGAGTCTTTAAATTTGGTGGACTGTCAGATTTTCTTGAGTTCTTTACATATCCTAAATATTAGCCCTTTGTCTGAACAGTAGCTGTTAAAAATTCTTCCACACTCTGTGGGTTGTCTGTTCACTCTATTGTTGTTTTTGTTTTCTTCTCCTGTGAAAAGCTTTTAATATATGTGATCCTCACTGTTGATTCTTTTCAATATTTCCCATTTGATTGGGATTTTGTTCAAAGGTTTTTGCCTATACTGATGTCTTTCAACAGATTAAATATTTGTTTTAACATTTAGATCTTTGACCCAGTTTGATTTAGTGCATAGTGGGAGGTATGAGTCTGAGCTTACTCTCTGACATGTGGAAAGCCAATTTTCCTGGAGCCACTTATTAAAGAGACTGCTTTTCCAGTGAGGGTGCTTGGTACCTTTGTCAAAGACAAGATATGTGAGTGTGCTTAAAGTTGTTTTTGCATCTTCTCTTCTGTTCCATTGATCCTTGGGTATGTTTTGTTTTTTGTTTTACAAGTGCCATGCTGTTTTTATCATAGTAGCTTTGTAGTATAATTTCAAGTCAGGGACTGTGATATTCCCTCCCTTCTCCTTTGTTGTCTAGAATTACTTTTGCTATTCCAGGTCTCTTATGGTTTGATATGAATTTTAATATTATTTTCCCTAGCCCCATGAGGTATGCTATTAGTACTTTGATTGGGATTGCATAAAGCCATATAACAGTTTTGCAAAAATTGCTATTTTTATTAGACTGATTCTAGCTACTCAAGAACCAAGAATGTCTCTCAATTTTCTGGTTATCTCTTCAATCTCCTTTTTCAGGGTACTGTAGTTTTCAATGTATAGGTCTTTTATTTCCTGTTAGATTAATTCCTAAGTAAAAATACTTAGAAATTTATTGATGCTATTGTAAAATATATTTCCCTAATTTCTCTCTCAATGAGTTATTCATGTACAGGAATGCTACTGATTTTTTTTTAATTTTTAAAAATTTTGATTTTTTTTTTTTTAATTTTTGACACAAGATGTCACTATGTAATTCAACCTGGCTTTCAACTCACTGTGTAGCTCAGGTTGGCCTTAAACATACAGCAATGTGCCTTCCTCAGCTTCACAAGTGATTTTTTTTTAAAGAGCTAAGTTTGCCAGGCATGGTGACACATGCCTGTAATTCCAGTACTCAGAAGGCTGAGGCAGGAAGATTGTTCCAAGTTCAAGACCAGCCTGGGCTACAAAGTGAGCGCAAGGCTGGCCTGTACTGCATAGTGAGACTCAGTCTCAAAAACATAAAAATAAATAAATAAATAAGAACTAAGTTTCTGTGTTTTTGCAGCACTGAGGGTCAAACCCAGTCTCACACCACCTCTGAGCTACATTTCCCAGCCATCATTCATTTTTAAGTGTTGACTTTCTATCTGCTGTGATGTTGAATTTGGATATTCTAGGAGTCTTTTGGTGGATTGCTTTGGGTCTTCTATGTACGGTATCATGTTATCTACAAATAATAATTTAACTTCTTCCTTATCATTATTATTTCTTTTTCTTAAATCTAATTGCCTTGGCTAATGTTTACAGAACTATATTGAGCAGGAGTGGTGATAGTAGGCATCTTTACCTTATTCTTGCTTTTAGAGAAAAAGCTTCCAGTTTTTGACAGTTTAGTATGATGTTGGTTGTTGGTTTGTCATAGATGGTTTTTATCTGATTGAGATAAAGACCTTCATTCCAATTTTCTGTCAAGTGGTTTTTTAAAAATCAAAAATGTGTGTTGGGCTTTGTCTAATGCTTTTTCTCTATTGAGATGATCATATAGATTTGTCCTTGGTTCTGTTAAAGTGTTATATTACATTTATTGATTTTCTTATGTTGAACCATCCCATGCATCCCTGGAATGAATCCTGCTTGGTCATGGTATATAATCTTCCTGACAACTTGCTACATTCTGTTGCCTGAATCTTACTTAGAAAAATCCTAAGTAAGAGCATATCCTAAGTAAGAGCATCTATGTTCATTAAGGATACTGGCCTGTAGTATATCTTGTTGTCTTCACAATAGTTGTCTATTCAATCAGGTATAGCAAAATCAAACCCAAAACAAAACACTATAAAACAAATCAAATCAGAATACTGAAAAAGGAAAAACAATCAGAACAAAGCAAAATAGTGAAAACAATATTGGACTTCAAAGACAAGATAGAAGGAGCTCCCCTATATTTGCTATATTGCATACTGTCATTTTCCTAAGAAATGCTCACATTCCTGGCCCCAGACCTGCATAATCAACCAAATACAAGCATTTAATTGCTTTATGTACCTAATTTGCTATCAACTCAACCTTTCCTCTGAATCATCCAGTTGTTGAGGGGTGGGGCACACAATGGTGTTTGATTCTCAGCCCACTTAGTGGTAGGCTCACAGGAGGCACTATGTCAGACTTTTCTCTCCCTGGAACCCGCACGGTTTTACGTGGCTTACCACAAAGGCCGGCTAGTTGATTTCTTGGTTGGACCCCGAGTCCCAGTATGGTGATTCTTGGGAGACACTGACCTTTCTCTCTTGTTGGTAGCTTTTAAATTATTTCTTCAATTTCTTTGACTGATATTGGGTTATTTAGAACTTTTATATCTTCATTCAGCTGTTTAAATTCATATATATCTAGGAATCTGTCATTTCTTCTGAATTTTTCATCTTATTACAGTTTCTTAAAGTAGGTATTGATAATCTAGATTTCCACAGGATACTTTGTGATTTCACTCTTCATTTCTAATTGCATGGATTTGAGTCTTTTCTTTCTCTTTTTTTGATAAAGTTGGCTAAGGATTTGTTGATTTTGTTTAATATTTCAAAGAATCAACTTTGTAATTCATTGATTTTTTGTATTATTTTCTTAGTCTCCATTGCATTAATTTCTGCTCTAATCTTTATAATTTCCTACCTCATATTCATGTTGGGCTTAACTTACTCTTCTTTTTCTAGAAGCTTAAGATTCAATATTAGGCTATTTGAGCTCACTCTTTTTTCTGATGTGGGAATTCACCACTGTAAGTTTCCCTCATAAGACTGCTTTCATTGTGTCCTGTAAGTTCTGGTATGTTGCATTCTCATTATCATTTAATAGTAGAAAGTGTCTAATTTCTTTTTTTTTTTTGTTAGAAGTTTTCCTTTTTAAAATTTTATTTAAAAGGAAAAAGAAAAAACAAAACAAAACAAAGTGGTATAAGGGTACAAGTAATACAGAACTACAAAAAAAAAAAAACATAAGAAATCACCAGTTAATAGATTACACATTATCATCTTAGAGATAGTTGCTCAAGTCACAGTATCAAAGCATACAAAGTGGACATTCAGACAGTGAGACTGCAAACAGTTGTGTTCAATGATCCAACCAAAAACATTAATATGGTCATCTATTTAACACCCCTAAACATAGCTGCAGTTGTATCCTTTAAAGCACTTTTTTCCCCTTTATTTTTTACAAAATTTACACATTTTGGGTTTTATTACTCCTTAGTTCTTACTACTTTTTTTTTTTTTTTGGAAGAGAATAAAGTCAAAGATGGCAAAACAAAGCTGTCAGTCAAAACCAAGGATAGACATAGCACATGATGTAAAAACAGAGTACAAGGTTATCAACAATGGTTACCATAATGCCTCTTGCTTCTTTAAAAAGAATTGTCTATCTCATTAGGTATTATAAAGTTGAACAAAACAGTAGAAAACAAAACAAATAAAACCTAAACCTTGTAAACATTACAGGATTTCCAAAGCAGATAATAGTCAAACCAGAATGGGCATCATAGTGAATCTTACTGCCTTCAAAGTAGTTTCCTATACCCTCAAACTTGATACTATCATACAGAACGGAACAGAGTCTAATCAGTCAAAACAAGATAGTAGGAGTATTACAGGACTTCAAATCATGTTACTAGTAAATCAAAAAAGTTACTATAATATATCCTGCTAATTTTTTTATTTTTCCCCTTAATTAAAAAATCATAAAATATAGCTAAATAATTTCTTTAATGAATAAGGGAGAGATTGAGATAAAAGAGGACATAATAACATAACAATACAGGTCAAAGCATGACTGTTTTCAGCAACCTAGTGCTTCACCACCAAATAACCCGACTTAATAGTAGTTACCATAGTGTCTTTTTCCTTGAAATATTTGAATATAACTTCATATACTATAGCTTCAAATATTTCCATATCAAGCATCCCAGAATAAAGCCATTCCAATTAATAAGTGAAAACTTTATAAGACTTCAAGGCCACATAATGGGGAATCATGATTACCACATACTTTTATATATTTGAATCATTACTTACATTAGGGAAACTATTTGGTATTCACACATGCGAGATTGATTTATTTCACTTATGAGTATGGTCTCAAGCTGCGCCCATTTATTGATAAATATCTCAATGTGATCCTTCTTTATAGCTGAGTAATACTCCATTGTATAGAAATACCACAACTTTTTTATCCATTCCTCAGTTGGTGGACACATGGGTTGTTTCCAAGATCTGGCAATTACAAATTGTGCTGCTATAAACATAGGTGCACATATATCACTGTGGTATGATGCTTTCAGTTCTTCTGGGAATATGCCTAGAAGTGGAATAGCTGGAACAAATGGGACTTCCAATCCCAGCTTTTTGAGAAACCTCCAGACTGACCTCCACAAAGGTTGTACCAGTCTACAATCCCACCAACAGTGTAGGAGAGTTCCTTTTTCCCCACAGCCTCTCCAGCATTTGTTGTTGTTGGTTTTTTGATCCTGGCCATTCTTTCAGGATTGAGATGGAATCTCAGTGTGGTTTTAATTTGCATTTCTCTAATAACCAATGATGATGAACATTTTTTCATGTATTTATTTGCCATTTGTATTTCTTCATCTGAGAAGTGTGTATTCATCTCAGATGCCCATTTTTGGATTGGATCTTTGAATTTTGGGGGTCTGAGTTTTTAAAATTCTTTATATGTTTTAGACAAGAGTCCCTTGTGTGAGAGGGAGTTCACTAAAACCTTTTCCCAGTTTGTGGGTTTTCTTTTCACTATGCTAGAGATTTCTTTTGACATGCAGAAACTTTTTAATAAGAAGTGGTCCCAGTTATTAATTCTGGGAAGTATTTCCCATGCAGTTTGAGTCCTGTTCATGAATTCTCTACCTACCCCTATGTCTTCAAGGTTTCTACCCAATTTGTCTTCCAATAGATTTAGTGTTTCTGTTTTAATATTCAGATTTTGACCCATTTAGATTTTAATTTAGTACATAGTGATA